ACAACGTCCATTTATACATAATTAAACTTTTTGAAAGCTGTCTCAATAACCATTACTTTCCACCCATATGGAAAACAGGAAAAGTAATTATGATACCCAAACCCAACACTGATCACAGCAATGCAGATAACTATCGCCCAATTACCCTCCTACCGTGTTTGGGAAAACTCCTGGAAAAAATTATACTATATCAATTTGGCTTCAGAAGCTCCAGACCCACTGCACATCCTCTTACCGCGGTCATATCCAATATACAAACTGCGAGGCTAAATAATCTTTCTTCTGCGGCTTTGTTCTTGGACCTCAAAAGAGCATTTGACTCGGTTTGGCATAAAGGACTTATTTACAAACTTAAGAAGATCGGAATTGCTAATTCCCTCATCTACCTTATCAACAGCTATCTTGAAAACAGACCACTCTACGTTTGCATTAATGGGCAAAAATCTCCTCCACTCATTGCGGAACAGGGAGTTCTCCAAGGCTCTCCGCTGTCGCCACTGCTATATAACATTTATTGTTATGACATGCAGCATGAACACAACCAAATTTTTTCACCAAGCGAAGCAAACTACATTTTACAATATGCAGATGACACTGCACTCTTTGTGCATCAAAAATCACCACAGCTTGCCCTTGAAAGGCTAAAAACGCTTTTCCTTACCATTAATAAATGGCTTAAGGATTGGAGACTCTGCATTAATGCTAACAAATCCAAATTTATTATTTTTCATCGAAACAACCTCAACAATCTTCAACTTACTATCAATAACCAAATACTTGAGCCAGTTCAATCAGTTAAATACCTTGGAGTACTGATTGACAACAAAATAAACCTGAAGGAACATCCCTGCTTAAAATACCCTATAGAGACCCTGTTCAAACCGATAGATATTTGTATCGGGATGTATGGTGTTTCTATAGGGTGTATCGGTTTGTATAGGACCCGTAGTTGAGATTTATGGTTGTTCTATAGGGATATCCACCATTGATTTATTTGCTATCGGTTTCAATGGGGAAAATACACATAAATGTAGAAATTAGTATTTCCCTATAGGACCCTATAGGTTTTAATAAAATTTTGTCAAATGTTTTATGGTTGCTCTATAGGGATATCCCTATATATCCTTCATTGAATTATTTTCTATCGGTCTCAATAGGGAAAATGTAAAAGTTATGGTGTGCCTATATAGGTAATTTCCTATACATTTTCTATCGGGCTGTATCCGGAAAAACCCATGGACAAATGCACATATAGAATCCGATAGCGCCCGATAGATTATTTTGTATAGGTCTCTATGGGGTATTTTAAGCAGGGATGCCAACTCTTCCAAAAAGAAATGTATCTCCAGAGCCAGCCACTTTAGATGTCTTACCTACAAGAATAATGGCATTAATCTCAAAACGGCATCAATAATTTATAAATCCATCTGCCGTCCCATCCTTGAATATGCTCCCTCCCTGTTTTTAAATTCCCGAAAATCTACCTTAAATATCCTGAATGTGGCTGAGACTTCTGCAATGAGAAAAATTACCAAAATGAGGCACCCAGGAAATCCACTCCACAACCCTCCCAACACCCTCCTTTATGAAAAATTTAAAATCAGCCCAATTTCTGCGAGATTAATAAAACTATCCACCAACTTTGCCCAGAGAGAAGCCGCTTACCAGTTTCTGGCACCAGTACTGATTCCAAGAGACCTAGAGAGAGCTCCCACCCGAATCAAACATCCTACAAGATCCCTGCTTGAAGAAATGCAAGCTCTAGCATACATTACTTTTATATTTTAATTAACCTTGGCTGAAGGACCTAGGTCAATGGCCTTTTGATTGTTGTTATTTTTATAATTATGATAATCAATAAATAACTATTATTATTATTATTATTAATAATAAATATTACTGTCAATTTGACAGTGTCAGAGTATTTAATTAAAGACTTCAGCAGAAGTACCATTTTTAAAATAGTTACTAAAAATATTAAATCAAACTGGTTAAGCTAACAACCTAACAAAAAAAAAGGAGTCCAAATAAAAAAAATGAACTGTATGTTGATCAAACCACAATCCACACAACAAGGTCTGTTCTATCTCGTACTAAAAATACAAAAAATCACTGCAACACTGCACAGTTTAACGGCAGCCATGATTGTTGTTTACAATTTTTGTGCTTTGGGTTTGTGCTCTGTTTATACACATTTTAAACGTTGTGTTTCTCATAGTAAGGCTTAAAAGAGTCCTTAAAGTGCTAAGAACAAACATTTTACTCCTCTATTGTAATAAATAAACTTTATTCTATCAGGGCTGTCATAAAACTGTCAAATGTCAATTTTAAGGTTAAATTATAACTAAGGCCCGGATTTTTAGGTCAAAAAGTGATAAAAGGTTCCTAAATTAGGTGATATTTTTAATAAAATAGGTATTTTAGGTACCTATATTTTATGTACTTATAAGTACATAAAATATAGGTACCTAAAATACCTATTTTATTAAAAATATCACCTAATTTAGGAACCTTTTATCACTTTTTGACCTAAAAATCCGGGCCTTAATTATAACCCACAAATTTACCTTTAAATTGTCATTTGACAGCCCTGATAGAATAAGGTAAATGTATTATAAAAGAGGAGTAAAATGTCCTTAGCACCTAAAGGCCTTATTTGAGGCTTACAAGTGCCTCTGTAAGAAACACAATTATTAAACAGCACAAACCCAAAGCACAAGAATTGTAAACAACAAAAATGGCCGCCGTTAAACTCTGCAGTGTTGCATTGATTTTTAGTATTTTTAGCATGAGATAGAACAGACTTGTTGTGTGGATTGTGGATTAAACAACATTTTATGCTTTTTAAAAATATTTATTATTTGTTTCCTGCTGAGGACCAGTTTTATACTGCCCTACTATGGAGAAAGGCAGTAACTGCAAAAAAATACAAAATGCGTTTTCTTGTGCTATGGTAAAGCTATGGACATTTTGTAACCGAATTCAAAACAGAAATGAAGTCAAATAGCTTATAAGTTAAAACAATCAATTAAATACCTACTGCTTTTTATAAAAATGTAGTTTATGCTAATTTTCCACAAATTTCTTGTTTAGCACTTACTGCCTTTCTCCATAGTAGGGCAGTACCTATAGGTAGATCTACTTTACTACCGATTTTTTCTACTTTACTGCCGATTCTAGTAAACATTTTAAATATAGATTTTATTTGTTAAAAATACACTTTAAACATCTATTTTAATAGTTTTTATAGGCCTAAGTATTAAATTCATTTGTAAGGGCCCATGTGCCAAAAAAAAACTATTCTCTATAATAAAGTTCTTGGATAAAACCATATACTTACCTATAACTAAGTTATAGGTATATATATATGGATAAAACCATAGAAATAACGCTGTGGCTCCCGTCCCGAGGCGGGACTTAAGTTCAGTCCCGATTGACGTCATAATTTTAAGATTTGTTATGTTATAATAAAATAATAATAATAAATTGTACCTGTATACATGTTAAGGGCACTTTAGTTACGTCATAAAACCAAACCAACCCAAACTCAACAACACAACCCAACCGACCGCGCCCCATTGGGCCCCCCCCGGCCCCATTGAGCAAAAAACCCAACTAAAATGGGCAAATTTATGTTACGATAAAAATAAAACACTTTTTAACAAAGAAACAACAAATTTATAAAATAAAAAAAATAAAAAAAGTTTGACAACATCTAGTGGGATCGAACCCGGTACCTCTCGCATGCCAAGCGACCAAAATTCCAAATTCAAATTCCAAATTAGTTTATTTAACAATATTACATAATAAATTTTAATCAGCCTAACTATAAAGGTATAAAAGGTACAATATGTATATAAAAAAGGGAATTTATAGAGTTTAAAAAATTTAGAGAGTTAATAAATTTTGAGGTAATCCTGACAAGAGTACGTGGTCTAAAGGGGGCAAATATAAAAGTGAAAAAAAGAGTGAGTGAAAAATGTTAAATTTTGAGGTGACAAGAAGGTTAAAACGTAAGTAATTAACCTCCTTGTGCGAACTTTATACCGCATAGAGGCCCAGATTATCGTAATTGGTCAGTACTGTTCCACTTTTACTCGCGACCGCCCTACCATCTAAGCCATCGAGCTTGACACAAATTATAAAATCTCGGGGAATAAAAACCGATTTACAGTGTGTGACGTCAATCGGGACTGAACTTAAGTCCCGCCTCGGGACGGGAGCCACATCGTAGAAATAATAGAAATATTTAATAATAATAATAGTAATATTTTTATGGATAAAACCAAAGATGTGTCTTTGGATAAAACTATCGATTTGTATTGACATCTCTCAGAATACTATAAATACACCTGTCAAAATAATTATATTATAGTATAACACATAACAATTACTTACCCCGTAAAAACACCTATTGCAAACCACTAAAAACACATTAAAGTCACTAATGCCACTTTTATCATCCACAAAAATTCCTTAAAAACCCATAAAAACCTCAGAAAAATAAGTTTTTTCGATACCAATTGACATTTATTTGAAACACGTACGCCATGTCCAAACAAAAACAAACGAAGATCATGCGCACATCAATACGCGGCCGCCTAGATATTCTACGATTTTTATTGACCAATTGCTTTAAAACGTTTGTAATAAATTTAAAATATTAGGTAATAATAATAAGTTATAACTTGTAAAGATACAAAAATCAATCAAATTAGGCGCCAGATTAATTTATTTACTGTTTTACGAATAGTGTAATACTATAATACACAACTACACAAACTTTCAATTGTATTCTGGGTTGCATACCTAACAAATTGTTAGTAACAATTTCATTGCAGATTTATGAATTATTATGCATAATTTATGTTTTAAATGACAATTATGCATTATGCATTTTAAATTATATGGTAAAAGTTTTTATTTTGACTTCCTCGTGCAATTTTTCTCCCATGAAATTTATAAGAAACGGAATGACAGTTGAAATAAAATGACACCATTTTAATTCTTTCAGATAGCAGGCCTTTTTTGTTTTTGCAGGTAAAGTAAGTTTTGGAATCTATGGTTTCTCGCAATCTAGACCACAAAGTTCTAAAGAAATGTCTAGTAATGAAGAGAAGAAGATAAACGACATGCTGGACCGTTTAAGGCACGGAGAAACCATACAGAATACACCAATGAATAGCCCCAGAAGAAACCTTTCAATATTACCAAGTAAATACATTCAAATAATCTAGCTATCGTAGGAACTAAAATAGTGCTTTTTGTCGACAACAAAGTTGTCAAATCTGTCAGTGCTTAACTTATAAAATAGGGTTATGAGTTTATATCTTGAAATTGTTTTATTTAAGTATTAGGATTTGGTTTTATTATAGTTTTAATTGACGTTCTTAAACAGTTGGAGGATTGATTCTAGTACATTAACTGATATATATTTCAGTTGGGCTGAACAACAGACCCAATAACAGGCCGAGCAACCTTAATTTTACACCAAAGCCCAACGATAATGCAGAGACTGAACGAAGACTTAAAGAAATCATGAAAATCAGCGGATCCATCAAAATCGATGGCCGAATTTTTAACACCGATATTAAACAACTTGAGGATATTGAAGAGCTCGGTAATGGGACCTGCGGCCATGTAGTTAAAATGAAACATGTACCTAGCAAAACGGTCATCGCTGTAAAAGTAATACATTGTGATAATTATGTGCATCACTGGCAGGGTTCGCCGGATTTAAATCATTTGATTTAAATCAACAATTTAAATCAGTTTTAAAAAAAGTTTCTAAAATCTAAAAAAACACTTAAAAGATCTAAAGCATAATAATATGTTGACAGTATTTAAATAAATTCATATACATGGAAAAACTGCTTATTTTGTTTAATAAAATAATAAAGGAAAATACAAAAAAATATTTGACAGTTGCGGATGGTGGTTTATTTGTTTATAAAGTAGTGCCAATATATTATTATGGTCAAGTTATTTTTAGTATTATTTTTAATAGAAGCTTATAATTAAAAAAAAATAAAACAAATCAAAAAAATCATTTTATGTTGATTTTTTTGATTTTTTAATAAAAATCATTGTTTTTTTTAAATTATGATTTTTTCAAACCCTGATCACCAGTGATACATACATTGCCCATGATATGCACATATGTATCACGCGTGATACACACTCGTACTACATGTGTATCACATGTGATACATGAGACGATTGTCAATTTTTATTATGGCTACATTTTTTTTAGCAAATGAGAAGGTCGGGAAACAAAGAAGAAACGAAAAGAATTATAATGGATATTGAGGTTGTGTTAAAGTCCCACGATTGTAAGTTCATTGTACAGTGTTTGGGGTGTTTTATCACTGATTCGGAAGTTTGGATTTGTATGGAATTGATGGATACATGTTTTGAAAAATTACTTAAAAAACTTAAACAACCTGTTCCTGAAGAAGTACTAGGGAAAGTTACATACGCAGTGAGTTAAAAAAATAATTTTGTACATAATTTTAGGCCTTTTAATTTATTAGGATATAGTTAAAATTAGAATTTTGTAAATGTAAAAAATAGATTTATGAATCTTAAAAACACTCGATAGAGAAAATATTTAAACAATTTCAGGTAGTGGAAGCTTTATCCTATCTAAAAGATAAGCATGATGTTATACACAGAGATGTAAAACCATCAAATATTCTTTTGGATAAAAAAGGCAACGTCAAACTTTGTGATTTTGGAATCAGTGGTCGTTTAGTGGATTCCATGGCAAAAACTAGGAGCGCTGGGTGTGCCGCTTACATGGCGGTAAGTATTCATATATTTTGTCAAATATTTCAACGCATTCATAAAGATATTTCCTTAAAAAATGCCTTTGTTTTAGATTTTAGTTTTTTTTTCTTATAAATACAGGGTGTTTCTAATATATGCGCAGGATTTCAGGATGTGATAGCTCATCCAAAAAGATGAAAAAAGTCGCTATTAACTTACCCTCTAAAATGCACAATTTTCGAGATACAGGGTGTTGAAATTTTAGAAAAAAAATCGTTTTTTTCTGGAATCTCTAGAACCGTTTATCGTACAAAAAACAGCTTTTGTAAGCATTTTCTACTCATAATAAGCTATGTTTTGTGCCAGATAAAATTTTTTTACTCATAATTGGTGGAGATTTTGAAGGGGTAGCGGCTGTTTTTCTCCTCAACTTCTACGCCCCTATAAAAAGTACGGTTTTGAGACGCCCATTCGAACCACCAATGTTTTCTATACAAAAAAGGTACCTACTCCTGGTCATAAGCTCTAAAGTTGACCGTTTTTGAGAAAAATCAACTTTTATGTTTAAAACATGGTCAATTTAAAAAAAACAAACTTTTTTTCCTAATTAAACAAAATTTATTTTAACGTTAGAACAAGTAACAAAATCAAACTATAATTAAAAATTAAAAAAATGATTTTTTACACAAATGCTGACATGTGCGAAATGCGTTACCTTTACGGTTTGGAGAATTTTGCAAAGACAACGTTTGAATCATTTTTTATTTTTTTTTTAATTTTGCAATTATCGTTTGGTTTTGTTAATAAATTTTGTTTAATTAGTAAAAAAATTTTTTTTCAAAAAATTGACCATGACGGTCAACTTTAGAGCTTATTACCAAGAGTACCTTTTTTGTGTAGAAAACATTGGATGTCCGAATGGGCCTCTCAAAACCGTACTTTTTTCAGGGGCGTAGAAGTTAAGGAGAAAAACACCCGCTAACCCTTCAAAATCTCCACCAATTATGAGTAAAAAAGAATTTTTTCTGGCACAAAACATAGCTTATTATGAGTGGAAAATGCTTACAAAAGCTGTTTTTGTACTATAAACGGTTGCGGAGATATTCGAAAAAACGATTTTTTTTCTAAAATTTCAACACTCTGTATCTCGAAAATTGTGTATTTTAGAGGGTAAGTTAATAGCGACTTTTTTCATCTTTTTGGATGAGCTATCAAAATGTCGACAAAAGTAGAACAGTTTTTGAAATATAATCAATTTAACAAATAATATGGAATTGACTATATCTCAAAAACTGCTTAACCTTTATAGTTTTGACGGTCTTTTCGGATTCAGGGGACAATTTTACATAAGAATTGGCTGGTAAATGTCCGGGATAAAAATAGAGTATTGTACAAATGTCCAATAATAGAAATTTACATTTTTTACTAAGCAGTAATTGGACACTGGCCATTTTACTGTTTGTTTTCTGATTTTAAAATTAAAACGCATTAAAGTGACAATGTTTAAACCACGAGGAACACATTTATGCCACACACTGATCTGTGCACTTTTTAGAAATATTTTTTATTGTAATTTAAACACAGCCCTGCTCTTAACAAAAAAACAAAAATTTTACCACCAAAGTAACGTGCGAACTTTTTTGTCCTATTTTGGACCCAAAATAAAGTAGTTTTATATTATTACCGACTGAGATAGTTATAATTGCATACAGCGTCATCTAATATTTGACTTTAAGGTAACTATTTATAGAACTCTGGTTTTTACAGTATTAATGTTAATTGTCCAATAACTATAAAGAGGCGGATAACTGTGTAGTCAAATAAAAAAACATTTTTAGCCTGAGCGAATCGAACCTGATCCCCAAAATCCCGACTACGACGTCAGAGCCGACGTGTGGTCTTTGGGTATCACTTTGGTGGAGCTGGCAACCGGGGTTTTCCCCTACAAAGATTGCAAGACTGATTTTGAAGTGCTCACCAAAGTGCTGGGGGAAGCCCCGCCGTATTTGCCCGAAGACAAAGAGTTTAGTCACGATTTCAGGGACTTTGTCAAGTGCTGGTAAGAATTACTCATTATTTTTCATGTTTAATTGAATTACACAAGATACAGGGTGTTATGTAATTAATGTAATATATTAAAATACTGAAAACCTTTTGACAAAAGGTTTAGCGGAAAAATATTTAAAAAAAAATTCCCAAAGATAAAGAAAAAATATGCATTAGAAGTTTTTTATATTTCTTGTGATCGCCACTGGTTACACACTTGTGTTCTGTGAGTACATAGATACCAACCAACAAAATAAATAAAAACTCAATAAATACAAAAGTTGTATGCCCTTAAAGCTCTAATACCCTTCTGTATTTATTTACTCATCCAGCTATTAGCTTAAACAATGATTAGAAAATTTAGTACCTATTTTAAAAACTCCATAACCACAAAATTAATTTTTTCATCGGTTTTTTTCTTTCTGTTTGCTCAGATGAAATTAGGACAAGTTCACAGGTTAAACTTAAAATGAATAAAAACGCCAAATTAACAATTTGCATTGTTGATTTTGTCATTTTTGTAATTAAGCTAAATTTAAACAAAATCTGGCAACTTTTTTTGACGGAATCTGGAAACACCAGCTGTTACCAACCAAAACATAATAAATTAAATTAGGCAACCAGATTACTCATTATAACATAATATGTAGTAAATTTAAAAGCAAACGACGTACACTAAATGTATAAAACGAAGTCTGTAATTAAATATTTAAATGAATTTTAACCAAATTAAGTCCTTTTAAATTTACTACATTACTTTAATTGGGTCATTTTCAAGAAACACCCGCTTTCAGGAAAATGAAGATCATTTTTTTTTTGCTTAAATTGACTTTTGGTTGGATTTTTATAAATGTTTAGAGTTTTGTTTACTTACATTTACGTTTTTTTCAGAAAAATTTGCTAGCTAGCTTTAACGTGTACTTTTTAAATTTTTTTTACGTTTTTTTCAGAAAAATGTGCTACCTAGCTTTACTTATATATCCCCACTGTGTTACCAATTTGAAATAAAAAATTTAATTCAATAAAAAAAGTTGTTATAAAAATAATTTGAAATAAAATGTACTTAGTTCTCAAACTTTTGACTACATTTTTTTATTTTATTTTTTATTAAAAATTGTATGCTTTTTTTAAATATTTCTGTTAGTTAAGTTACTTTTTAAAAGAAACCATTCCGATTGTTTGTTAAAAAAACAATACTAATCTTTTAGTCACTGTATTAGTGAGTTAAACTCTAATTTATAAACATGTATTACCAAGTGATAGTAAAATCAATTTAAGTTTTTTTTAACAAAAACTAAAAAAAGTAACGAAATAGACATTGGTATCACAACGGACTGGGGTACACAAAGTACTTAATCAGATAACGTAAAAAAGAAACTATAAAGGGTGGAACGATTTTAGAGTAATGCATTAACAAAATCCCTTGTAGTGGTGCTCACTTGCAGAATAACAACTTAGATTTCTAAATTATAGACACCCTTTTTCTTTGACTATAAGCTGGTGAAGGTCTTGTATATTGCGTGGAATTTTCCCTTGGATGTAATCTATATCATGAGTTGTAATCACAAATAATTTTAAATTGGTTTATCATAAACTACTTTTAATAAAAGCGACGGTAAATATCCACTTTGTTGCCGAAAAATTCTATTGCGTTACCCTAAATTCCATTGCGTTACCATAAGGTAACGGAATGGACTCGGTAACGCAGTGGAAAAAGTTTTGTGAAACCATATTTAAAAAATAATAATAAGACATTACAGTCATTAATTACTCTCAATGAGCTTTAGTGCCCTAAAATAAACATAAACATGAAAAATAGTATTTTTTCTTACCTTATTTTTATTATTATTTTTTGAGTAACTTAGCGGACAAACAATTATTACATACGCGTTACCCGCATCTGTTTCAACCGATATCTTATAATATATAATATAATAAATAAATTCAGCTGGGTAATGTGTACGTCCGAACATCATTTGTTGATCACGTGAGTGCCAAAAAAGTTGCCATATATATGTTTTTTTTAAATATTCTATCGGTAACGCGACGGACGTAACGCAACGGAAAAAATGTCTGGGACATGAGTCAAATTTAAAAAAAGTAGATTAAAACTAATTAATTTATATATAAATTGTTTACTGTACTAACTAAGGATGTTATGGATTGCTATAAAGCAACACAAAGTTCTGGTTCTTTAATATTTAAAAAAACATGTATGTAAGTTTTATAAAACGCTAATGGGACATGCGAAAATGTGTGTTTCACAAGTTTCAAAATTAAAAAAAATTATTCTGAAATAACTAAACAAACATTTTCTGAAAGAGTTTACTAAGGGCTTTTTAGGCTTTCACTTGGTTGTTAAATCAATAAGATACGATAATTTTTAACAAAGTTATTGGAATTCAAACTTACGGACAGCGGAAGGCGGGTGTTTTTTGAAAACGACCCAATTACATAACACCTTGTATATTTTAATCTCAAACAATTTTTAGATGATAAAACACATTTTATTAATTCAATATTTTTTTTATTTGTGTTTTGACTTTTTAGCTTGACGAAAAACAAGCAGTCCAGACCGAAATACGCGGTTTTAAAAAACCACACTTTTATGAAAAAATACGAAAAAGCAAACGTGAACGTGGGAGAGTGGTTTACGCAGGCTCTGGGTAACGGGGCAGCTCCTAGGTACGTTGCATGGTTAGTTTGTTATTTTTTTATTAATTATTTTTATCTTGCCTGCAATTTTAATGGTGTAGCATATGACCTACCTACTACTACTACTACTACTACTACTACCACTACTACCACTGTACTACTGTATTAAAACAAAAAAGTTATATAATTTGTGTGTGTTTTAATTTAAATGAATGTTTGCTACCCAATGTAGGTTTGTATACGCATTTTACAATATTTTTTGAGCATGGGATGTGAGATTTGTTTAAAGTTGAGTTTTCTATGGTAGATTGTCAGTTTTACAGATTTGGGGCAGTAACATTTTTTAATTGTTTCTTGTGCTTTGCAGTTAAATATTATTCTTTTAAACTACAAAATGCATAAATCTTTATTTGTATTGTGACCCATTTTCGTTTTTTATCAGGCCTTGGAAAAATTGGCTTTTTTGTGAAAAATTGTTTTTTTGTTGTAAAGAATACAAATACAAATTTTAAATTTTCCCCGTTTAAAATGCTTGTGATATTCTAAAGGCTCGTAAAAAAGTACGAGAATAAATGCAAAAATCAATTTTTCGAAAATTCGGAAAATTGAAAAATTTCGGATTATGGATAATGCAAATTTTAATTTTTCTGAAAATTTCTCAATTTTTTGTTTTAATATGCTTGTGATGTTTTAAACGCTCCTAAGAAAGTACGAGAATAAATGCAAAAATCAATTTTTCGAAAATTCGGAAAATTGAAAAATTTCGGATTATGGATAATGCAAATTTTAATTTTTCTGAAAATTTCTCAATTTTTTGTTTTAATATGCTTGTGATGTTTTAAACGCTCGTAAAAAAGTACGAGAATAAATGCAAAAATCAATTTTTCGAAAATTCGGAAAATTGAAAAATTTCGGATAATAGGGATAATGCAAAATTCAATTATTCTGCAAATGTCTCAATTTTTTCTTTTAATATCCTTGTGATGTTTTAAACGCTCGTAAAAAAGTACGAGAATAAATGCAAAAATCAATTTTTCGAAAATTCTGAAAATTGAAAAATTTCGGATTATGAATGATGCAAAATTCAATTTTTCTGCAAATTTCTCAATTTTTTCTTTTAAAATGCTTGTGATGTTTTAAACGCTCGTAAAAAAGTACGAGGATAAATGCAAAAATCAATTTTTCGAAAATTCGGAAAATTGAAAAGTTTCGGATAATATGGATAATGCAAAATTCAATTTTTCTGCAAATTTCTTAATTTTTTCTTTTAATATGCTTGTGATGTTTTAAACGCTCGTAAAAAGTACGAGCATAAATGCAAAAATCAATTTTTCGAAAATTCGCAAAATTGAAAAATTTTGGTTAATATGGAAAATGCAAAATTCAATTTTTCTGCAAATTTCTCAATTTTTTCTTTTAATATGCTTGTGATGTTTTAAAGGCTCGTAAAAAAGTACGAGAAAAAATGCAAAAATCAATTTTTTAAATATTTGAAAAAGAAACGAAAATAAATTTTCGGAAAATTTCAAAACATCACAAGCATTTTAAATGGAAAATTGAAGAAAAAAATTGTTTTAAAGGCTCGTAAAAAAGTACGTGAATAAATACAAAAATCAATTTTTTAAAAATTCGGAAAAATATTTCAATTCGTACTACAGATAATACGGAAAAATGCAAAAGTCAATTTTTTTGAAAATGTAACAATTTTAAAACACTAATGTTAATTTTAAACTATATCTGTAACGCATGATAGTATTAATAGGATACTGAAGCACCTTTGACACATTTTATTATTATTATTATTAAGTATTTAGTTTGTAGACTGTAAAAGATAAATAATATTAAACAAATCTCATATTGGTTTTGGAAGTAATAATCAAAGAAATCATACAAAAATAATTTGCATTAAACAGTAGAGTGTCCCGTTTGAAACCAATTTTATGTATTGTGTAATCTTCCTCTAGAGCAAAATTAACATTGAAATCTTCACTTAAATGCCTATCATCTTTATTAGTTAATAATACTAATGTAGTTAATACTCGCAGAATTATGGCACGCCGTTTTAACATTTAAATAATTATTCAATAATTTTTTAATTTAAAATTTTATTGGTTTCACAACTAAAAATTTTGTAGAATAAAATATGAAAACGACAATTTTTAAAAACCAATATTTTAAACTTAATCTTAACTATTATCTAATAAATTCTAAAACGGCGTGCCATACAGAATGAATGAATTAATATTTTAACTAATAAGGACATTTTTCTTGGCAGTTAACAATTTTATTGAATGAATTGGATTTATCAAACGCAGCACTCTATTAAAATAATTTAATAAACACGATAATAATTATTAATTCAACGAATTAATTTGATTTGATTTGATTTTTAACAGACACAGTTTCATTACCAACCCGATACGTCAGTTCTTCTCATCTCAGCAATCTAAATCGACACAACACCAGCAATTTGGCAACCTCGCGCGCGCCATTCCAAAACCAATACAACAGCAACAACAACAACAACAATCGCCACAACAGGGACGAGTCTCGCGACTAAGCATATTTCAAGTAAGAAAGTTTTAATTTAAAATTAGTTCTTTTTCCGTACGATTTTTTTAAAATTAATAACAATAATTTTTTATAAAATTTATTTAATGGTTGTTGATATCTTCTCATAAAGATGCTTTTTTGAAGTATAAAACTGGTTTTTATGGTTTAGCTACAAAGAAAGATCTTAGGTATATTATTTTGTTCAACTTTACCTTATACAAGTGTAACCATGGGAGGGGTAATAAGGAGGAAAACTTATTTATTACTAAATTGTATTTACAAATAATTGCAATTTAGGTTTAGTTGCCAACTAAAAACCCTAAATTGGCCACCATGGAGCCAGCTAACATTGAATAAAACAAACTAAACTTGTGAAAAATATTATATTATTAATTAATCATTGGCTTTCTTGTCTTGTCACATTTCCTGCACAGTGCAAAAAAATATTTTGTTTTTTAAATTTTATTTTAATTTCTTACACTGCTGTAATTGATTTCTTAGAATTTAAGTTTTTGTTACTGAGATCATATTTTGAATCCTGATTTTGTCCTATTTCTTGTACACTGTAAAAAGAACTATAATTAATATTGTTTTTTCTAATTTCATACAAAGTACTTGTTTCTCTTTTGATAAATTAGCGTTAAGTGTAAAGTTCGTATCCACTTTTAAGACTTTTTTTTATTGGAATGTAGTTGTATGTTTTTTCAATCCAATTTTCCTTTTTAAAGCAACTTTCTTCGAAGTTAATAGAACAAATACAAGCTACAAAACAAACAAAAATATTTACCTAAAACATTAACCTAAGGAAAAAAAATTTCTTTGGTGTTATAGAAAATTTATTGCCAGAAAAGTGTCGTAAGTACTAGAAAAATCATAAAAATATTATAACCAATATGCAAAATATTATTCTGTTTAAAGTACACGGTGTGCCTGAATGAAGTTTAAGTCACAAAAATGCTGCCAAAAACTGATTGCAGTTTCTTGTTCGGGACCATTTGGAGACTTAAAAATGATATTTACCAAAATCCTAGCTCCTTTTTTCGAATTTTTTTGAAAATTCAAGATTTTTTTTTAAATTTTTGTTTATTTCCAAGTCTACCTTTGACAGAGTACACATTTGTACACCGATTTTTATAAAATTAGAGTAAATTATTGAGGAGACTAAAAGAATACTTTTTAATACTGTTCACATCATTTGATATATACAGGGTGGGCCTATTTTAAATAAAGCAAAAGCGTAATTTCATGATTTTGGCATAACACGCAAAAAAGATTTATCCCCATTTTTTTTAGATATTTCTACATTTATCAGGTTACAAAATAGCATTCTTATTAACCTTTTATACAAAAAAAAGATTTTTAATAAAATTAAAGAAAATAACGCTTAGAGAATATTTAAAATGTTGTTTAATTTAGGCTTTTTAGTAGTTTTTAATTTTGAACGAAAAGTTTTTTGATCGGCACTCTTTGGAGATTTAAAAACGATATTTACCAAAATTCTAACTGCTTTTTTCAAATTTGTTAAAAAATCATTTTTTTTTAATTATTTGTTTATCGCAAAGTCTACCTTTGTCAGAATACACATTTGTACACCGATTTTTATTGATTGTTGTTTCTTGTTTGGGACCCTAATTTTAAAATGATATTTACCAAAATCCTGGCTGCTCCTCTATTCGAAATTTTTTGAAAATTCTTATTTTTTTTTAAATTTTTGTTTATCTTACCTTTGACAGAGTACACATTTGTACAGCGATTTTTATAATATTGGAGTATATTGTTAACGAGACTTAGAGAATACTGTTTTCTAACTAAGCACATCATTAGATTTATACAGGGTTAGCCAAAAATCACTTTTTTATATAGTAAAAAGCATAATGCACAAAAAAGATTTATCTCCAAAAAATGTTATTTTATTTAATTTTATTCTAAATCAATTTTTCTTATAAAGTCTTAATAAAAATCCCACTTTGTAGCCTGATAAACATAAAAATATCTAAAACATGGGTTGGTAGGTATATATCTTTTTTGCGTGTTATGCCAAAAGCATGAATTTACGCTTTTGCTTTATTAAAAGAAGCGATTTTTGGCTAACCCTGTATATATTAAATGATGTGCACAGTATAAAAAAGTATTCTCCAAATCTCCTTAACAATATACTCCAATATTATAAAAATCGGTGTGCAAATGAGTACTCTGTCAATGGTAAGATAAACAAATATAAAAAAAAAATAGGATTTTGGTAAATATCATTTTTAAGTCACCAAAGGGTCCCGAACAAGAAACTGCAATCAGTTTTTGGCGGCATTTTTATGTGACTTAAACTTCGTTCAGGCATACCGTGAGTATTCATTATGAACGCAAAATAGATAAAATGTATTATTATCAAAAATTTTCATAAAAATAAAAATTGCAATTGAAACAATGTGTTGTTCCTCTTTGTAACCTCATCCGTGTACATACTGTATAACCAGTTGAGTTATCAAATAATCTTATCGCACGTTTTTTGTAGAACTTGTCTCTACAAAAACGTTATACGGACATTTTGTTTTATATGCATTTGTAGGCCCAAAGGGAGCCTCAAAATTTGAACCACAACCCGCAGCACCAAAGCCGGATGGAATTCTTGTTTCAACCGGTTAATAACGTTTCGACTAATCAGCCGACTAGTTACTCGCCGTACCGGGCCTTTCAAAATCACGTGGCGGCAACGCAGAACAAGCAGGACACCAGCAGGCAGCAGGAGTCTCACATACCGTTGAGAATACATGCGGAGAAACCCACTTTGGGTAAGTTACCTTCCTCTTGTTGGATATTTTTCGTCTTGCAGTTCAAGATCAATGAAACTGCATATTAACGCTGTAAAGTATTTTTTCAAACCTCAGTAAAATGACACTTTTGTGATATTTATTGCCATGTTAGTAAATTACTTTTTCTATATAAGAGTCTTAAAAATGTCTAAACTTTTCCAAAATTCTTTAGAAACTATTTAAAATAGTCCCAGTTTCTTCTAAAGTGTCTTCAAACTATTTAAAAGAGTCTTAGAAATGTCTTTTCCAAAATTCTTTAAAATGTTCAATAACTTTGTCCAAAGTGTCTAAATATACACTATAACCGTTTAAAATGCCTTAAAACTTTTTGAAAGAGTCTTAAAAATTTACAAAATTATATAAAAAAGTCTTAGAAGTGTCTAAACTTTTCCGAAATTCTTTAATATGTTTTAAAACTCTGTCCAAACTGTCTAAATAATATTATACACTATAACCATTTAAAATGTCTTAAAACTATTTGAAAGTCTTAAAAATGTCCAAAATTATCCAAAACGTCCTAGAAATTGTCGAAATTGTCTAAAACATTCTAAAAATTGTCGAAATTGTTTATAAACTTTTCAAAATAGTCCTAGTATTTTCTAAAGTGTCTTAGAAATGTCTAAACTTTTCCAAAATTCTTTAAAATGTTCTATAACTCTCTCCAAATTGTCAAAATGTACACTTGACTGTTTCAAACGTCTTAATAATTTTTTAAAGTGTCAAAAATTATCTGAAACGTTCTAAAAATTGTCTAAATTGTTTAGAAACTATTTAAAAGAGTCTTAGAAATGTCTTAACTTTTCCAAAATGCTTTAAAATGTTTTAAAACTATTTAAAAGAGTCTTAAAAATGTTCAAAAATATCTAAAACGTTTTAGAAATTATCGAAATTGTTTAGAAACTTTGAAAGAGTCCCAGTATCTTATAAAGTGACTTAAAACTATTTAAGAGTCTTGGAAATGTCAAAACTTTTCCAAAATTCTTTAAAATGTTCTATAACTATCCAAACTGTCTAAATGTGCACTAAACCGTTTAAAATATCTTAAATCCACTTGAAAGGTCTTAAAAATGTCCAAAATATCTTAAACGTTCTAAAAATTATCAAAATTGTTTAGAAACTATTTAGAATAGCCCCAGTGACTTAAAACTATTTAAAAGTCTTGGAAATGTTAAAACTTTTCCTAAATTCTTTAAAATTTCCTTTAACTCTGTCCAAACTGTCTAAATATACACTATAACTGTTTTAAATGTATTAATGTTTTCTAATATTAAAAAAAAAAATCTTAAAATTCTTCAGTTATCTAAAACGTCTTAAAAATAGCCCCAGTATCTTCTAAGTGCCTTAAAAGGGTTTAAAAGAGTCTTTGAAATGTCTCAACTTTTTCAAAACTCTCTAAAATGTTCTACAACTCTGTCCAAACTGTTTAAATGTAGGTACACTATGTTTCATGTTTTGTAAAAGTTTTGACATTTATAAGACTCTTTTAAATAGATTTAAGACACTAGATACTGGGACTATTTTAAATTAAATTTCGACAATTTTTAGAACGTTTTAGATAATTTTGGACATTTTTAAGACTTTCAAATATTATTAAGACATTTGAAACTTTCAAATGTCTTAACAATATTTGAAAGTCTTAAAAATCTCCAAAATTATCTAAAACGTTCTAAAAATGGTCTAAATTGTTTAGAAACTATTTAAAATAATCCCAGTATCTTCTTAAGTATCTTCAAATCTTAGAAATGTCTAAACTTTTCCAAAAATCTTTTAAAATTTCTATAACTCTGTTTCAAAAGTCAAAATATTTTTTGAAAGTGACTTAAAGGTGTCCAAAAATTATACAGGGTGTTATGTAATTAATGTTATATATTAAAATGGGTAGTTCCTTAGGGTCCATAAAGAAGCACCTGAAAATTTTTTTTTCTAAATTCCAAAGACTAAAAATAATTTATAATAACCTTTATCCTACCAAAAAGTACGCCACTGATCGACTAGGAAGCGCGGATTAACCTTACCTATTACTTTTTAATGCAGTGTTGCCAAATGTAAAATTAAAAATGTATTACCTTAAATGAGATGCTCAAAATGATTTCATTATTTAGAATGCAAGCTTAAACTCTACAAAGCATGCTTTCGCGCACCCTCGTAAAAATGTCTGGACTATTAACAATTAAGTTCCTGAGTTGCTGCCCAAATCCCGTCTCTCGTAAATGTGGCCTCATCGGTATACAAAACACTACGGCTCCAATCAGCATCTTCTTGATTTTTCTGTATATACCAATGGCAAAATTCCAACCGCAGTGCTGAAGAGCTTGAACTTTTTGTAGGTGATAAGGGTAAAAACTATTTTTGTGAATCGTGCGCCACGTAACAAAGTTGGACATTTGTCCAAGTTGGGCAGTTAATCGTCTTGTACTAATTCCAAACTCCAAAATTTGTTCTTCAAGGGCCACAAATTCACGTCCCTGAGCCCGACCCATATCACCAAGAAATGTGCTAAATGTTCCGCGGTCCCTTAAATTTTGCACAGCACGTACAAAACTTTGCTCCGAGGGCGGTGGATGTCCGTCATTGGCGTGATAATTTTGAATATACCTACCTACAAAATTCTTGCTTGACGAGCATTTTGCATCGCTTCCCCGTAACACAAAACCATATTTGTTTATTGAATATTTGTGAGCGCCCGACCCGCCATAGCATAAAATCTTTCGCACTAATTACTTATTAGTATTACTAATAAAATACAAATTTTCAAACTTTCAAAATATTTATAAAAGAATAAAAACCTGAAAAAACTTGAAAAAAAATAAAAACCTGAAATCGCTAGATCACTAATTAGACCTTGTAAAAATTTTTGTACTAATAATTTTTTAAAAATCGTTTTAACATTGTGATTTAAAAACATACTTATAAAAAATATATTTAAATTTAGACACACCAGATTTAAACTTTATTCATAATTCGTAATGATTTACTTTACTTTAAGTTAATCTGGTTTAATTTATTATGGTTGGTAACACATTCTGACAAAAAATTGTAGGTTATGTGCTCAAATTGTAAATATCTTAACTAAGGGAAGTGCTTTTGGGCGTTTGGATTTATTTACACAAATTGAATTTTTAACGATTAACCTGTGAACTTGTCCTAATTTCATCTGAGTAAACAGAAAGAAAAAAACCGATGAAAAAATTAATTTTATGGAATTTTTAAATAGGTACTAATTTTTCTTATTATTGCTTAAGTTAATAGCTGGATGAGTAAATAAATACAGAATGGTATTATAGCTTTAAGGGCTTAAAACTTTTGTATTTATTGAGTTTTTATTTATTTTATGCAAGAAATTTTTTTAGTAACAATTTTTTACAACTGGCAACGCGCAGCTTCTTTGTTGGTTTGTATCTATGTACTCACAGAACACAAGTGTGTAACCAGTGGCGTATCACAAAAAATATAAAAAACTTCTAATGCATATATTTTCTTTATCTTTGGAAAAATATCTTTTAAAATATTTTTCCATTACATCTTATGTCAAAAGGTATTCAGTGTTTTAATATATAACATTAATTACATAACACCCTGTATAAAACGTTTTAAAAATTGTCGAAATTGTTTTATTTTCTGTCTGTGTGGAAAAAATTGATTTTTTGTACGGAAAAATAGTATATTTCATTCGTAGTAAAGTGACTTTAAGCTATGTATTATGTATTATTTTTTAACTTACCGGCCATTTCCCACTTATTGCCTAGTGGGTAGATTTTTCGACAAATCAGCTTCATTTTTCAACAGTCCAAAACTTAATAACAATATTGAATCACAGTAGCTTCTTCATAATGTAGTGCAGAATTTCTGACCTTATGTTATTTCAAAATTTTAATAATATTGAAATTACAAAAGTGAAAAATCTCAAAAGAAAGCCCAAAAACCTTTGTTTTTGTTCAGCAAACCACCACGTGGTGAGCAGCACCAGCAGTCTCCGCTGCTGCCGCGTCAAAAATTCTTTAAAATGTTCTATAACTCTGTCCAAACTGTCTAAATATGCACTATAACCGTTTAAAATGTCTTAAAACTTTTTGAAAGTCTTTAAAATGTCCAAAATTATCCAAAACGTTCTAAAAATTGTCAAAATTGTTTAGAAACTTTTTAAAATAGTCCCAGTATCTTCTAAAGTGTCTTGAAACTATTTAAAAGTCTTATAAATGTCTAAACTTTTCCAAAATTTCCAAAAGTTCTATAACTCTGTCCAAACTATCTAAATATACACTATAACCATTTAAAAGAGCCTTTAAAATGTCCAAAATTATCCAAAACGTTCTAAAAATTGTCGAAATTGTTTAGAAACTTTTTAAAATAGTCCCAGTATCTTCTAAAGTATCTTGAAACTATTTAAAAGAGTCTTATAAATGTCTAAACTTTTCCGAAATTCTTTAAAATGTTTTATAACTCTTTCTAAATGAACACTATAACTGTTTCAAAAGTCATAATAATTTTTGAAAGTGTCTTAAAAGTGTCAAAATTATCTAAATCGTTATAAAAATTGTCAAAATTATTCAGAAACTTTGAAAGATTTCCAGTATCTTCTAAAGTGTTTTCAAACTATTTAAAAGAGTCTTAGAAAATGTTTTATAACTCTGCCCAAACTGTCTAAATGTACACTATAACTGTTTCAAAAGTCATAATAATTTTTGAAAGTGTCTTAAAAGGGTTAAAATTATCTAAAACGTTATAAAAATTGTAGCTTCGAACTATTTAAAAGAGTCTTAGAAACGGCTAAACTTTTCGAAAATTCTTTAAAATGTTCTAGAACTCTGTCCAAAAAGTTTAAATGTACACTCTACCTGTTTAAAACGTCTTAATGATTTTATAAGAGTCTAAAAAGTGTCCAAAATTATTTAAAACGTTTTATAAATTGCCCAAATTGTTTAGAAACTTAGATAGAGTCCCATTATCTTTTAAAGTGACTTAAAACTATTTAAAAGAGTCTTAAAAATGTTAAAACTTTTCCAAAACTCTAAATGTTCTGTAACTTTGTCTAAATATAGACTATAACTGTTCGAATATTAATATTAAAACTACAAAAGTTAAAAAATCAGAATGTCTAAAAAGAAATCTAAAAAACTTGTTTTGTTCAGCAAACCACCACGTGGCGAGCGAGAGCAAGCAGCACCACCGCCAGCAGTCTCCGCTGTTCTATAACTATCCAAACTGTCTAAATATACACTATAACCGTTTAAAATGTTTTAAAACTTCTTGAAAGAGTAAACTTTTCCAAAATTCTTTAAAATGTTCTATAATTCCTTCCAAATATACACTATAACCGTTTAAAATGTTTTAAAACTATTTGAAATTCCTAAAAATGTTAACAATTATCTAACTTTTCAAAAATTATTTAAAATGTTCTATAACTCTGTCCAAACTGTCTAAATATACACTATAACCGTTTAAAATGTCCAAAATTTAAAATAGTCCCAGTATCTTCTAAAGTGTCTTCAAACTATTTAAAAGTCTTAGAAATGTCTAAAATTTTCCAAAATTCTTTAAAATGTTCAATAACTCCTTCCAAATATACACTATAACCGTTTAAAATGTTTTAAAAATTTAAAACGTTTTAAAAATTGTCGAAATTGTTTAGAAACGAAAGAAAAGAATCCCAGTATCTTCTTAAATGTCTTAAAACTATTTAAGAGTCTTTGAAATGTTTAACTTTTCCAAAGCTCTCTAAAATTTTCTATATTTGTCCAAACTGTTTTTAATATCTTAAGTCTTCAAAACGTAAAACTATCCAAAACGTTCTCAAAACTGTCGAAATTATTTCAAAACTATTTAAAAAAGTCTTAGAAATGTCAAAACTTTTCCAAAACTCTAAATGTTCTGTAACTTTGTCTAAATATAGACCATAACTGTCCGAATAATAATATTAAAACTACAAAAGTGAAAAAAATCAAAATGTTTAAAAAGAAATCTAAAAAACTTGTTTTGTTCAGCAAACCACCACGTGGCGAGCGAGAGCAAGCAGCACCAGCGCCAGCAGTCTCCGCTGCCGCCGCGTCGCGGCGCCAGCGAGGGCCGGTGGCGGTCGCCCAGCGCCTCGCCGCTCCCCCTCCGCAGCCAAATCCAAGCGGAAGACGCGCAGTACAACCACGGCAACACCAGCCCCATAGTCCTGCAGCGGTTCTATCACCAGCAGAAGCAGCAGCAGCTCGCCAAAGAGGCGGAAGAGAACGGTGAGTTTAATCGAAATACGCTAAAGAAGTATCGCTAGTAGCGCCACCACTCGGCCGTTATCATCGTAACAAAAGTATTACTTTTAATAATCAGCTGTCAGACGCTTTTGTTACAAACGAGTGTTTTTGAGAATAAACCCGGACACGGTGCTGTTCTGAGAGGTGATTTTTGGACTTTCTGTGAAATTTAATTTTTTTTTATATTCTTGTTAATTAGGTCATAACTAAAATTTTAAGAGCAAAATAAAAAAAATTTGACGGTTTGAATTGTTTTAATTGGCTGTTTATTAAAAATATTATGCACTCTTTCAATTATCCAATTAAAACTAGCGATTTAACTTAAATATTTAATATTTGCATAACTAAAAAAAAAGGTTTTTACAATTTTTTTTATATATTTTACTGTTTTGTTGCAATAAACGTTCAAACTTTTAATCTAACCTTTGACGTATACATTTATGTTCCCTTAATTAATAAATCCTTAAAGGTTGCCATGAAACTTAGATCTATTAAAAATTTATTTGACGTTTGAATTGTCATTTTCAGTATACGTATTCTATAATTTTTGTTTAGTTTTTTAAAGTGTTTTTTATAAACAAAAATGAAAAATTGTAGTAAAAGTTACGAAGAAATTCATGAAATTTAACTAAGGACCGGTTTATTCATCTTTAGTAAAGTTTATCGGGCCGATAACTTTCATGTCTTGGCAAAAATGAATATATCGGCCCTAAATAAAATGTGGCACCCTTAGAATTATTGTTTAATAAATGTATACTATACATTTAACCTTAAATTAAAACTTTAAACGTGTATTACAACAAAACAGTAAAAGATATAAAAAATGTATAGACCTTTTTTTAGGAAATTAACTAATCTTTAATTTGATTTAAAAAGTTATGATAATATTTAAATAAAATGGCAAGTTTTAATTGAAGAATTGAAAGTGTGCATACATATTTTTAATAAACATCCAATTAAAACAAAATTAACCGTCAAATTTTTTTTATTTTGTTCCAAAAATTTTAGTTATGACCTAATTAACAAAAATATAAAAAAAAAAATTAGGTTTCACAGAAAGTCCAAAAATCACCTCTCAGGACAGCACCGTGCGGAAAATGTTAAATAATATCGAAAAAAGAAAACCGTGGCTCGATTTGTTGTGTTGTTGGGTGTATTTCGAGAGGAAATCTTGGGTTGAGTTTTTACCGGTTTTCCAATAAACAGTGTTAATCCGAACGAATAAATAAATTGCATACAGTCTAATTGTACCTATTAGATACAATCAATACACATTTTAGTAGTGATTAACGTGAAAAGTGTAAAAATTCAATTCAGTAAATATCGTCAAACAAATAAGTCGTCTAAATTTAAACAGCATTTAGCATTATTAAAAGCGTTAATTAAGAAAGTCTCCACTCAACGGTAAAATACCATTATATTATGTATTATATATAATATTATGTTGCCATGAATTCGTAGGTATATTTTGTTGTTTAAAATGCAGTTGTCGGCGTTTTTTAGAGAACTCAAATATAAAAATGGTTGATTTTAAGGTTATGTTTGTGCAAAAATTATTTTTTACTAATTACTTAAAAATGTCCAAACTTAAGTATAAATTATATTAGGTAAAGTTATCATTAGTTAATTCTGCACCAACAAATGTACTTACCGAATTGGATCCTTTGGCAAAACATGAAAATGCAACGATTTAGTTCTTGAATTTTATTCACAATTAAAAACACAATAATTCACCATGATCCCTTAGATAAAATACACACACTAACGTAACTATATGAGCATTTAAGCGTTGAGTTTATTAATCAATGATATAAAGAATAATCAATCGAAATCGAGGACTAAACCAGTTTTTTAGTTTTTTCCTTGCAACGTAAAACAAAAATAACGTGCGCGATTTAGCTGTGCAATTGAACACAATTTTTCGAGTAAGACTCCTGCCTTCCTTTTTTTTTGAAAAAACTACCTATTTAGTTAAAAATGATGTACAGTTTGTATGCTTTAAATGTATTGTTGACAATTCTTAAATTCACGTAATACTATCGAAGTTCACCAGATGGCGCTCGCGTTTCGAAAACCCGATACTTCTTTAGCGTATAGGGCCGCCCGTTTTTTTTTAACATCTAGCGGATTTTTATTCAAATTTATCTGTAGGCAAGAAAAAGTTCTCTTCGTACATAAAGCTGCAGCTTACGGGCGACAGAAGCGGCCGATCGTCTAGACACCAAAGCCCCGAACCGCCACCTAGATTGAACCGAACTGTCAGCGGGGAAAGTCAGAGCCCGCTGACGTTGCGCAGGAACTTTCTCGAAACACACACGCCAAATTCTCCTAGTCTATCGAAAAGGTAAGAAATCCTTACTTATGTATGTATAAGTGAATTTTTTAATCGTTTTTTGAATTTTGTGTTCTAAAATATTTTGATGTATTTCAGTTTCTTTTTTATATATTTTTTTTACTTTTTGAAATTTAAAAAAGTCTAAATCTATCTACGTTTTAAAAATTGTAGAAACTATTTAAAATAGTCCCAGTATCTTCTAAAGTGTCTTAAAACTATTTAAAACAGTGTTAAAAATGCCTAAAATTTTCCAAAACTCTCTAAAATGTTCTATAACTCTGTCCAAACTGTCTAAATGTACACTATAACTGTTTCAAATGTCTTCATAATATTTGAAAGAGTCTTAAAAATATCCAACGTAACTATAACGTTTCAAAAATTGTCTAAATTGTTTAGAAACTTTGAAAGAGTCGCAGTATCTTATAAATTGGCTTACAACTATTTAAAGGAGTCTTAAAGTTTTTAAAATGTTCTTTAACTCTGTCTAAATATACAATATACTATCGCTAACAAAAAAAACTCATACAGCTATATTGTGGCTGTGTGAATAAAACTTTTCCGTCAAAATCAAGCTGACATCGAGCTTTGTCACATCCATTATGACTTTTTTAACATTTTCAACCAAACAATGCAGACGAACTCTGGCAAGCCATTGAAGCCATTTGGAAAAGATAAAGCAAGACGGCGACTTCCATGCTTTGCTGTTTGCGGGCAGTAATTGAGAAAAACAGAGAGATGACGAAATATTTTTTTTTCAAACTTCAACCTAACTTTGTATTTAATTTTACACCTTTCAAATGTGACGTATCATGTTAAAAGCCATAATTACTCCAACAAAATGATAGAAAATCAGGAACACTAGATTTTTAAGCTGTATGAGTTTTTTTTGTTAGCGATAGTAACTGTTTTAAGTGTCTTAATAATATTTAAAAAAATCATTGTCTAAAATTTTCCAAAACTCTCTAAAATATTCTATAACTCTGTCCAAACTATCTAATTATAATTGGACGCCTTTCTGCAGAAAGGAACCAACCCACAAAACCAAAAAAATCGAGATATTTAGCCTATAAACTAATTAAGTATGTATAACACGTTGAATGCGGATGCTAAAACTGAGCCTAATCTTTCAAGTGCGGTATCGGTCTTCTGAGCCCGATGCTGGTAAAGTCTGCTGTGCGGTATCGGTCCTTGGGGACCGATATGTTAAAAAAGATAAAGCGACATCTGACGCAAAATTTATGAATGATATCAGTATTTTCTGTATAGGATTCTGTTTACCAATTCCCCCAACAGAAGTGACATCGTCAGCATCGGTCTCCGGGGACCGTAACCGCACAGAAAGATGGTTAACATTTAGTTACCTATATCATTTTTAAAATTATTTTAGCTTCAAATAAAACTTTTTTATTTCAACGTTATTTATTACTTAAGAAATAAATATACATATTGCTTACAAACACAAAATATCAATTTTCTGATAAACTGTTAAAAAAATCAAAATTTGACAGAAAACAGCTGATTCAAATATAGGTCTCTGGGGACCGATAACGCATGTTAGAAATAAATATTACTCCAGTGCGGTACCGGTCTCCGGAGACCGATGGAAGGTTAGACGTTTGTTAAAGTTCTGTACCTCTTAAGGATCAAAAAGCCATATTTAATGCGAAAATAGAGGTTTTCGTTTCGAAGATACAGCTCCCGCACCATGAGTAGTTTAAGCACATATCTAGCCGCATAGAAACGCAGTTGCGCCATCGGTCCCCGGAGACCGACGACGCAGTCAACGTGATAATTTATCTGCAAAATAGGTCATAGCCAAAATGCAAGTGTAGTGAAATCTATTAATCATTGAACCAACCAACATTCAATAATAGTGTGGATTACTAATCCAGAATTAGAATCTGTAGAATATCTGCAAGTGGGTTGGATCTTTTTTGTAAAAAAGCAGGCTGGTAGACCCACTACCAAAGTCTTTAAAGATTTCCTGCTTCTGCAAAATATAAAGTCTTGATGCATTTTTTTGGTAGCTTACAAGATGAGGTGGGGTTGGAAGATGATGTGGACGAATTTCCTATAGAATCAAAATTAATTCATATTGCCATTATAATAGTTATATCAGTTGTATTTTGTTTGGAAATAAATAATTGTCGCTTTTCTTTAAATACATACATACATCAGATAGTAGTTTTCATAAATTGCAGAAAGGAACCAACCAACAAAAGCCCATTTTTTTCGTCACCCTTAAACATAACAAAAATCCACCTGATGAAATTATTAAATTATATCCCTTAAACCAAAGTCCAAAAGTCCAAAATCGGCATAAAATTAACAGGTAATTTTAAAATTATTAAAATCTTTGATAGCTTTTTTCTCAGTTTCATCATGGTGTGGGTTGGTCCCATTCTGCAGAAAGCCGTCCAATTATCCACTATATCCCTTTAAAATATCTTAAAACTATTTGAGAGAGTCCTAAAAATGTCTAAAATTATCTAAAACGTTTTAAAAATTGTCTAAATAATTTAACAAATATTTCCTTGGTCTCTTAAAACTATCTTAAAACTATTTAAAAGAATCATTGTCTAAAATGTTTTAAAACTCTTACCTGTCAGTACCAGTTCCAGTACCTCATAGTGTTTTAAAACTATTTATATAATTATTGTCTAAAATTTTTCCTAACTCTTTAAAATGTTCTTTAACTCTGTCCAAACTGTCAAATATCCACTATATCCGTTTAAAATATCTTAAAACTATTTGAGAGAATCATTGTCTAAAATTTTGTAAAACTCTTTAAAATGTTCTATAACTGTCCAAACTGTCTAAATATCTTAAATATATTTGAGGGAGTCTTAAAAATTTCTAAAACTATCTTAAACGTTTTAAAAATAGTCTAATTTTTTTATAAAATATTTTCAGTACCTTATAATGCTTAAAACTATATTAAAACTATTTAAAAGAATCATTGTCTAAAAATTTTTAAAACTCTTTAAAATGTTCTATAACTCTGTCCACTGTCTAAATATCCAATATATCCGTTTAAAATATCTTAAAACTATTTAGTCTTAAAAATTTCTAAAACTATCCAAAACGTTTTAAAAATTGTCTAAATTTTTTATACAATATTTTCAGTACCTAAGTGTCTTAAAACTATTTAAAAGAATCATTGTCTTCATTTTTTTAAACTCTTTAAAATGTTCGATAACTCTGTCAACTGTCTAAATAACCACTATATCCGTTTAAAATATCTAACTATTTAGAGTCTTAAAAATTTCTAAAACGTTTTAAAAATTGTCTAATTTTTTTATAATATATTTTCAGTACCTTATAGTATCTTAAAACTATTTAAAAGAATCATTGTCTACATTTTTTTAAACTCTTTAAAATGTTCTATAAGTCTGTCCAAACTGTCTAAATATCCAATATATCCGTTTAAAATATCTTAAAACTATTTAGTCTAAAACTATCTAAAACGTTTTATAAATTGTCTACATTTTTTATAAAATATTTTCAGTACCTTATAATGCTTAAAACTATATTAAAACTGGGTGACGTTCATAATATCGAAATTCACTTTATCGAATTCAAAATATCGAACACTTTTTATCGAAAATCAAAATATCGAAAATACAAAATGTCGAAAATCAAAATATTGAAAATTAAAATGTCGAAAATGATAATATCGAAATTTTATTTAATCGAATTTTCAATTTATCGAAAATAAAATATCGACGTTCATAATATCGAAATTCACTTTATCGAATTCAAAATATCGAACACTTTTTATCGAAAATCAAAATATCGAAAATACAAAATGTCGAAAATTAAAATGTCGAAAATACAAATTTTTAATAAAGTTAATTTTTTATTTAGTACCTGGGGTTATTATTCTTACTTTTATTTTTACAATTAATGTGAAACTAAACCATATTTTCTTATTTTGAATTTGATATTTTGTTTAAATATTTCAATTAATCGACATAATATTTTAATCCGAAGTGTATATGTACAGAGGCGCCTCTGATATAGAAATGTACTCAAACTCAACAACACAACCCAACCGACCCCGCCCCATTGGCCCCCCCCCCCGCCCCATTGAGCAAAAAACCCAACTAAAATGGGCTAATTTATGTAATTAAAAAGTGTTTTATTTTTATCGTAACATGAATTTGCCCATTTTAGTTGGGTTTTTTGCTCAATGGGGCGGGGGGGGGCCAATGGGGCGGGGTCGGTTGGGTTGTGTTGTTGAGTTTGAGTACATTTCTATAAAACGCGCATCTCTAGGAGCCAGGGAGCCAAGATAATTCGGTGCATAACCGTAACTTTATCTACAGAGGCGCCTCTGTACATATACACTTCGATTTTAATCATACATTTTAATTTTTGATATTTTTAAATCGATATTTTAATTTTCGAAATTTTAATTATTCGACATTTTCAAATCGACATTTTAATTTTCGATATTATCATTTTCGACATTTTAATTTTCGAAATTTTAATTATTCGACATTTTCAAATCGACATTTTAATTTTCGATATTATCATTTTCGACATTTTAATTTTCGATATTTTGATTTTCGACATTTTGTATTTTCGATATTTTGATTTTCGATAAAAAGTGTTCGATATTTTGAATTCGATATAATGAATTTCGATATTGTGAACGTCACCCATTAAAACTATTTAAAAGAGTCATTGTCTAAAATTTTTCAAAACTCTTTAAAATGTTCTTTAACTGTCCAAACTGTCTAAATGTACACTATAACTGTTTCAAACGTCTTAATAATTTTTGAAATAGTCTTAAAAATGTCCAAAATTCTCTAAAGCGTTTTAAAAATTGTTGAAACTTTTTAATTTTTTGTAATTAATTTTTTTTTTCAAATTTATTTTTATTTATTGTTTTGACTTTTATGAAGGTTTTGCAAGATTTGTTTTTATCATAAAACATATTTACGCTGCGATCTTTTGACTTTTATCCAAATTATAAAAACGCATTTTGGAGAAAATTGATTTATTTATTTATTCACTAGGTATATTTCACCGACACCGCCTATTCCGCCGCCGCGTAAACTTTCCGAAAGCAGCTCGGTACCCGGTTCTCCGCAACACTTTAGAGCCAGATTTCACTACACGCCCGAGCCTCAAAGGCGGCTCTTCCAAAACAACGACGTGTCATAACATTAACTCCATCTGTTAGTGAAAATCTGCGACTGCTTAAACCCGACACCCAGTGCGCTGTACGCGGTACAAAAAATGTCATTTCAATAAGTTCATTTCTACCACGTTATTGTAAAACACTTTGTACGCCAAAATTATTATTTTTTTTACCGCGTACCAATAACTAGTTTACAATTTGTATTTATATAAGTACATAAGCAAAGTTCATAAATTAGATGGTGCTTTATTCTCTGAGGCTTTCTACTGTGTATGTTGTACATATTTATAATGCACTGCGGGTCAAAATTAACGCATAATAAAGTACAAAAATTTAACTCTAAAACGCCTTTACCAATCTTGTATAAAAATACTTCAACTTATATCTTAGTTTACGTGTTCGAGGGTTTTTCGAAAAAAATATTTTTAAACCCTTTAATTAAGTAACAAAAAAACGTTCTAAAAATTAAAAATATGGCGTTAAAGACCGTCAAAGTCGGTAAAAATTACCCCTTTTTGATTATTTTGCTGAAAAGTGGTCATTTTTGACGACTTTGAAGCGCTGTATTTTCGTTACTGTTCGTTTGATTTGTACAACATTTTCAGGGTATACTAACAAAAATACGGTCTTTCACAGCATATTTTTTATTTACTTCGAAAAAAAAATTTCCTATAAAAGTTTTTTCGAGCGTTTTTTATTATTAAATTAAAGGGCTTTAAGGATATTTTCTTGAACACGTAAACTAAGATATAAGTTAAAGTATTTTTATCCAAAATTTTATAAAGATTGGTGAAGGGGTTTTAGAGTTGGATTTTTTACTTGTTGTAGTTAATTTTGCCGCGCAGTGTATGAAATGTTTCATTTAATAATTATTACAGTTGAGTCTTTTTATATATAATTGGTTCAAACAATAGGTAAATCAAAGTTTAAAAAAGAAGAAAATACGTTTTTTATTGGGCGCAAAATCACGTTCATTTAAAACTTAAGCACAATTACTTAATGGAACCATTAATTTAATAAAACAAATAAAATATTTATTTTTTAAATTTGATTTATTTATAATTGTATTAATTATTATTTTGTGGATCAGACGAAATGTTAGTCATAAAATACTAGTCTTAAATCCTTCAGGATGTCTATTGCTGATTGGTCCTGTGTATTATTATTTTTTTAAGTAGTTAATGGTGCATATGTGGACAAACTTAACAAGAAACATTTTTTTCTGTACTATTTAGAGTGGTAAAATAGTGTTTCTTGTAACTGTCTGCTATGTACAATAATTAATTTTAAGCCACGAAAGTTTGTTATAGGACTGATATTTATTGTAAGAAAAATATTTTTGTTCCTCATGATTTCTCCCGCATATTTTATGCGGGATTCACGGTTTACTTTTCTGCTATGTTAGTTGATTAATTTTTTAACATTAGTTTTGAGAATGCTAAAATTCGCACTAAGCTAAAGGCTGTTTCTTTCACGCGATTTGTAAATTATTGTATTTATTTATAAATGTTTTTAAAAATACCCTATATGATGCCATACCTGAGATATTATGTATAATTTGGAAGATACATGATGTAAATATACCTGATTATATTTAAATATATTTTTAGCCAATGAATCGGGATTTTATTTCTTTATACCCTATTTAAAAACCTGTCCAGATGGAAAAATAATAATTTTTGTAAATAATTGTTAATAATATATATATATATTATGATATAGAAAATTAAAAAAAAATATACGGTGTTACAAAGTTTTTTTGTCTATAGGTACGATTATTTTAAAATCGGTAGATTTTTTTCTATGGATATTATGTTCTATAACTCTGTCTAAATGTACATTATAACTGTTTCATAATATTTAAGTCTTAAAAATGTTCAAAATTATCTAAAACGTTCTAAAAATTGCCAAAATTGTTTCGAAACTATTCAAAATAATCCCAGTATCTTTTTAACTATTTCCTAAAAATGTCTAAAATTTTCCAAAATGTTCTGTACTCTTTCAAAACGGTCTATAACTGTTTCAAATGTCTTAATAATATTTGAAAGAATCCTAAAAACATTCAAAAATATCTAAAACGTTTTAGAAATTATCGAAATTGTTTAGAAACTTTGAAAGAGTCCCAGTATCCAGGGCCATATTACCCATTAGGCAGGCAAGGCAATTGCCTTAGGCGCCACAAAAAAATAGGCGCATTGTCCCCAACCAACTTAAAAAAATTGTTACCAAATGGTTTATTTTTCCAAAAAATAAAGCAAATAAACTATATATATATAGTTTATATATATATATATACAATTATGAGAACGGTAGAGCACCGAATATTCTTTACTGTTTTTATTATTTTATAAAACAGCGGCTTCCTTTGTAATAACGCGGTGTACCGCCTTACATAAAACAGGGAATTAAAGCTGTTTTACATTTTTTAAATACTTACTACCCAAGTAGCACCACTGGTTAAATTAACGTTATTTTGTAATAAGTGGGGAATTTAATTATGATAAAATTAACGTTATGATAGTTAAACTTAACTTCTTGGTTAAATTTGGTTAAAAAGAAGTTAATATTTGATAGTTTTTGGTTTATTTTACCCTTTTTTAATTATTTTTTAAGTAAATTTAAGTTTATTTAAACTACCTATATTATATAGGTATATATATAATTATAATTTACCAAATATGGTTATTTACTCTCTTGAAATGAAATAGTAAAAATTCTACTATTTGAATTAGTATCAGCATTGTTTACTAATTAAATAGTCGTTTTTACTTTTAAATATTTATTTATTACTATAGTATACTTAATTAGTTAAAGTTTGACTAATTTAAGATAAGTCGCCATATTTTACTGTTACTGAGAGTAATAGTAACTGATTTCTTTAATCGTTTTTAATTCTTGCGGCGTTAAATGCATATAGGCTCCATGGTCCATAAAAATAAAGATGCAAAAAGTTTAGCACCAACACAAAAAATATATTCAACTTTAACAATATTATTAACAATATTTATTGACAGATATCATAAATTTAATAAGTAGCAGTGGTGCGTCTAATTTGACTGTTTCATTCCGTAGAATTTGACTTATTATAATTAGTGACTGTTAATAATTATTAGCGACTGCTTTGTCGCCATGACAATAATTCAAATATGACTTATAATTAGTTATTTTTGACTTATTCATTTTAAGAGACTATATCTATAGATATAACTTACAGACTAAATCAAAATATGTCTAAAAAAATAACTCGTCTTAAACATTTTTAAGTTATGTTTTATATGTATTTTTTTAATAAAAAATATTTTAATTTATAAGGGATAATAAGGTTAGTATGCCCAGGCGCCCTTAAGCTACCAGATTGTATAGTATAAGTATAGTATCTAGTAATAGGCGCCAAATTTTTAAGTGCCTAAGGCGCTTGATTGCCTTAAGCCGGCCCTGCCAGTATCTTAAAAGAGTCTTGGAAATGACAAAACATTTCCAAAATTCTTTAAAATGTCCAAACTGTCTAAATTTACACTATAACTGTTTTATATGTATTAAATCTTCTAATATTTTTAAAAAATCTTAAAATTCTCAAAAATTATCTAAAACGTCTTAAAAATAGCCCCAGTATCTTCTAAAGTGCCTTAAAAGTATTTAAAAGTCTTTGAAATGTCTTTTTCAAAACTCTAAAATTTTCTACAACTCTGTCCAAACTGTTTAAATATACACTATAACTGTTTCAAATATCTTATTAATATTTGAAAGAGTCTTGAAAATCTCTAAAACTTTCTAAAGCTCTCTAAAATGTTTTATATTTGTCCAAACTGTTTTAAAAGTCTTCAAAACTTCCAAAACGTTCTCAGAACTGTCGAAATTCTTTAAAATCTATTTAAAAGAGACTTTGAAATGTCTAAACTTTTACAAAACTCTAAAATTTTCTATAACTCAGTCCAAATTTACACTATAACTGTTTCAAATGTTTTTTTATAACATTTTAAAGTCTTAAAAATCTTCAAAATTATTTAAAAGTTTTAAAAATTGTTTAGAAACTATTTAAAAGTTCGTTTTCAATTTTATTAAATAGGTTTGGTAAAAACAAACGTTTTTACAAAAAATTTAGTTACTTATTTAAAATAATCGAAAACGAACTTTTAACTTGGTTACTTTGTATATTGCATTATTTTCAATAATTGTTTGTGTTCAAATTTTTCCTGGGACTACTTTTATACTACTTAGTGTTTATGCTATATTTTAGCATTTATGTTAACATTAAAAAATAAAAATCTTACAAAAACATTTTTTTAGATATAAATACATGAGGAAGCAAAATTCGACCATAGTTTTTTTGCCAAACTGAACTATAAGAAAGAAAAAAGGTATTTTAAAAATAAATCCAAGAAAAATTCAAATTTTTGTTTACTTTGTCTTTATTCCCTTATTATACAATTATATTCAATATATTGTCTTTATATTACACACTACCATGGTACCATATGATCACAGGATCAATAATATTTTAGGTAAGTAGTTGACTTTTCTAAAAGAGTAATTTTCATGACTGGTTATTCCTAATTTCCATATTTATTGGGCCTGAAAATAATACAAAACATTACTTGACGTATTTTCATTGCACCATAATGTAAAAATACAGTTTAGAACATGTTAAAGTATTTTAAACTGTATTTCATTACATTTTGTTGACAAGGCATTATAAAATGTATAACTAATTCCTACATACCAATAAAAAATATGATGAAAGCGCAAGCCAATGAGGGAAGCAAGTTTTAGCGAGGCTGAGGTTTTTGTTTCATGTAAAACTCAACTTCCTTTGAAAGTGAACTAGCCGAACTCCACCTAGACATCTAACCATAACCACATATACAAAAGCCACACCAAAGCCAAATTAATTTTAAAAAAAATGTGAAATATATGTAGGTACATTTAAAAGTGTTTAAATTCATTTTATGTAAAAAATATGCAACATGTGTCAGGTTAAAGATCTGATTGTGTTTGTCTAAGATGTGTTAGAACCTTCTAAAATGTCCTAAAACTATTTAAAGTCTTAAAAAAACTGAAAAATGTTTTATAATAAGTTTGCCTAAACTGTCTAAATTTTCAATATAACTGTTTAAAATGTCTTAAAATTATTTTAAAGATTCTTAAAAATGTCCAAACTATCTAGAATATAATTAAAAGAGACCTGTCCAAACAAACTGTCTAAATATACACTATAAAATATAAAATGTCTATTTTCTAAATTGTTAAAAACTATTAGAATATAATAGTCCCAGTACCTTCTAAATTGTCTAAAAACTATTTAAAATAGTCTTAAAACCGTCTAAACTTTTTTAAACTCTCTAAAATGTTTCATAACTCGGTTCACTGTCTAAATATATGTATATATAACTGTTTCAAATGTCTTAATAATGTTTAAAACTCTTAAAAATATCCAAAATTATCTAAAACGTTCTAAAACTTGTCTAAACTGTTTAAAAAATAGTTCCAGTATCTTCTTGTCTTAAAACTATTTAAAAGATCTAAACTTTTTAAAAATTCTTTAAAATTTCCTATAACTGTCTAAATATACATTATAACTGTTTCAAATGTCTTAATAATATTTTTAGTCTTAAAAATGTCCAAAATTATCTAAAACGTTTAAAAATTGTCGAAATTTTTAGAAACTATTTAAAATAGTCCCAGTATCTTCTAAAGTGTCCTAAAATTAATTAAAAGAGTCTTAGAAATGTCGCAACTTTTCAAAAACTTAATAATATTTGAAAGTCTTAAAAATGTCCAAAATTTTCTAAAAGGTTTTAAAAATTTTCGAAATTGTCTTATTTTGTCTAAACTATTTGAAAGTTTTTAAAATGTCCAAAACTATACTAAATTTCTCTAAAATTTCTAAATGGTTTAGAAACTATTTAAAAAGTCCCAGTACCTTTTAACGTGTCTTAAACTGTTTAAAAAGTCTTAAACATGTTTTAACCTTTTTTAAAACTATTAAACTGTCTAAATATGCACTATAACCGTTTAAAATGTCGTAAAACTATAAGTCTTAGAAATGTCCAAAACTATATAAAAGTTCTAAAAACTGTCTAAATTCTTTAGAAACTAATTAAAAGAGACCTAGAATCTTCTAAAATGTCTTAAAACTATTTAAAAGAGTCTTATAAATGTTTTATAACTTTGTTCAAACTGTCTAAATATACACTATAATTGTTAAACTGTCCTAAAACTATTTAAATATAGCAAAATCGATCTAAAAATTGTTTAGAAATAAGAGACCTAGTACCTAGTACCTAGTACCTTTTAAAGTGTTTTAAAAATGACAAAAATTATCTAAAAGTTCTAAATTGTTTTAAAACTATTTAAAAAAATTATAGAATCTCTAAAATGTATTTAAACAATTTAAAAGAGACTAAGAAATGTACAAGCTTTGACAAAACCGTATGAAAACATAATATTTACAAAAATTGGATGCATAGTTTTAAAATGAAATGCTCACATCATGATATAAATAATTTATTTTACAATTAGGGGATACTTGACATTCTGTTTTTTTGTTTCAATCATAATAATTTTACATTAACATCCATATGTACAAATCTTAATAATAATAATTAAAATAATTAAAATGACAAACACTTACTACAAGTTACATTCATGCGCAAAAATCATGCCAATTAATTTTTATTCTTACTCTGCTCAGCATTTTTTGTTAGTTTTTCTTAGTTTTTTCTAGATTAATCGAATAAAAAATTCATTAATGTATTCCTAAATATACAAGTTGTTTCTAAAATGCCTGTACAAAATTATTATTCTACATATTCCAAAATAATTTACCTACAATGCGCGTCAAAATTAACGCATAACAAGTAAAAAAAAATCCAACTCTAAAACGCCTTTATCAATCTTAAAATTTTGGATAAAAATACTTTAACTTATATCTCCGTTTACGTATGCAAGGTTTTTTCGAGAAAATATCCTTAAAGCCCTTTTATTTAATAATAAAAAACGCTCCAAAAAAAACCTTTTTTTTAAGTACATAAATAAAAAATATGCTGTAAAAAACCGTATTTTTGTAGGTATACTCTGAAAATTTTGTACAAATCAAACGAAAAGTAACGAAAATACAGCGCTTCAAAGTCGTCAAAAATGACCACTTTTCAGCAAAATAATTAAAAAGGGGTCATTTTTACCGACTTTGAAGCGCTGTATCTTCGTTACTGTTCGTTTGATTTGTACAAAATTTTCAGGGTAGGTATACTAACAAAAATACGGTCTTTGACAGCATATTTTTTATTTACTTAAAAAAAATTCCCTTAAAGTTATTTTATATTTTTTCGAAAAACCCTCGAACACGTAAACTGAGATAAAAGTTAGTTAAAGTATTTTTATACAAAATTTGATAAAGATTGGTAAAGGCGTTTTAGAGTTAGAATTTTTTTTACTTATTATGCATTAATTTTAAAAGTTGATAATAACCAAGAACAGTCAAAGTTGAAAGTATTTTTTCCGATTTTATTAAACAACTTTGTGTATTCACGTTTTAATGAAAATATAATTTTTTTTAATTTTTATTACCTTGTAAATGTCGCTCCAAGTTTTCGAGGTAAGTGAATTTATTTTTCATTGTGATAATTCGTACTTAAAATATTTTTTTTTAAATATTAATGTATTTTTTAATCGCATTAATTTTTTTAAGAAATTTATTTTTCTTGGTCCGAAAAACCCCGAAAAATCCAATTTCGTGCAAAAACGTTTGTTTTTTTTTCAAAGTTATTTAAAAAAATTGCAAACAAACTTTTAAATTTGATTTTATTTCGGTCTTAGGAATAAATGGTGTCATTTTGTACAGGCATTTTGAGGGCACCTTGAATGCATAAATGCTATTTATAATTACTGCACCTTTTGCTTTTGCAGAATTTTAATTGCATTTTCGCAAATATTTCCAATGTTTTCAGACGTAATGTGACAAGACTTAGTATCAAAATTGCAACTTTTAATGTTTTAACTCCTTTAGCAATCTTTATAAAATTTGGGATAATTATATTATCTCAGTTTACGTGTTTAAGGGTTTTATGAGAAAATATCTTTAAAGCCCTTTTATTTAATAATAAAAAACGCTCGAAAAAAACTTTTATAGGGAAATTTTTTTTAAGTAAATAAAAAAAAGTGTTGTACAAAATCAAAAATACGGTCTTTAACAACATATTCTTTATTTACTTTAAAAAAATCCCTAAAAGTTATTTTTCGAACGTTTTTTTATTAAATAAGCCCTTTTAGGATATTTTTTCGAAAAACCCTCAAACACGTAAACTGAAATATAAGTTGTAGTATTTTTATACAAAATTTCATAAAGATTGGTAAAGGCCTTTTAGAATTTTTTACTTAGTATATTTATTAAAAACATGAGGACATAACTTTCATTTAGAATAATTTAATATTTAAATGAACATGTTTCTCTTATTTTTCTTTGGTGGTAAAATGGGCCGCACTCTTGAACAAGCTGACAACGTTGCATTGATAATTAAGACGTCCAAATATCTCGTGAAATGGAAAATTTCTGGTGAAAATGCAATTAAAATTCGGACAGAAAAGATGCAGAATGGAAGGAAAACTGCGGAAAGCTCGAAATGACGACTTTAATTTTTAATTTTTCGCTTGTACCTGAGTCGCGTCAAAGTGCAGCGGCGGCGCAGGCGTCAAAAAATCGATGGAAGCGTTCGGATCGTTGATTGGCTGCGGCGTGAAAAAGTTCATCGGCGGCATTTTTTGCTGCTGCTGCTGCTGATCCGGCAACGTTGTCGGACCGCCTGCGGGCTTGCCGCCCGGATTGAACACGTCCACGTACGACTTCTTCAGGTCTGAGGGCGAAATTAAGACGGGTAAGTTGTTTTTTTCGAAAAAAATGTAATATAAAATCGACGAAAAGTGTTTTTTTCACAGTTTCTCTACCGAAATCGATGAGACCGGTATTTTTTCTTATTTTTTCTTTTTACCAGTGACATTTTTTCTTAAAAATGCAATAACTTGGCCAAAAATTTTTCGATCGTTGCATTTTTTTTAAATTGTTGGTTAATATTTACTACTAGCAATAAAAATATAAAAAATTAAGTGACAAAAATATGTTAAATACACTCACAGGCAAAATAATCAATCCACACAAATTTTCGATGAATTTCGATCGCAAATAACTTTTTTATTTGATGTCGGATTTAAACTAATATTAAAGAATATTGTAGATAAATTAATGGACAAGCGCTCACATTTTAAAAAATTACTATAAAATAGACGTACGTTTATATTATACAGGTTTAAACAAAAAGATGTTTTTACCATAAGTTTAAGACACTCTGTAGAGTGGCAAAACCGTATATTATTCTAAATTAAGTTTTATTTATCAAGTCACATCTATTCTTAACAGTTTTGTTTTTGGTTCACCTCGATATATTTATTTTTGTGGAAAATATGGATTTTTTAAAAAAACATTGCAATTTCCAATATTTTTCTGTATGAAGAACTAAGGTTGCTATGGTCCATCCATGGGTTATGGAGAATGACGTCTTTCAAAAGCTATCAAATTGTTTTTTGCAAATTAATGTTTAAATTTTGAGGTGTCTTCTTACTTAAAAAAAATGGATATGTCTCCAACTGATGTTGCCAGAGCCATTAATTTAATCCATGATGGACGGTTATAGTATTACGTAGCAAGTGTTTTAAACGTCACAAGAAGTAAAGTACAAAGGTCAACATCGGTCAGAGACATTTTTAAAAGTAAGAAGACACCTCAAAATTAACACATTAATTCACAAAAAACAATTTGATAGCTTTTGAAAGCTGTATATGACATGTCCAAGTATGGGATGATTTAACAAAACTGTCACTGTCATCCTCCATAGGCTATGGATGGACCATAGCAACCTTAGTTCTTCATACAGGAAAAATATTGGAAATTGCAATGTTTTTTTTTTAAATCCACAAAAATAAATATATCAAGGTGAACCAAAAACAAAACTGTTAAGAATAGTCGTGACTTGATAAATAAAACTTAATTTAGAACAATATACGGTTTTGCCACTCTACAGAGCTCCTACTAGTATCTTAAACTTATGGTAAAAAACATCTTTTTGTTTAAACCTGTATATTATAAACGCACGTGTATTTTTTAGTAATTTTTAAAATGTGAGCGATTCTCCATTAATTTATCTACAATATTCTTTAATATTTGTTTAAATCCGAAAACAAATAAAATAGTTAGTTGCGATTGAAATTCATCGAAAATTTGTGTGGATAGATTATTTTGCCTTTGAGTGTATATCAAAAAGTTCCAAATTACAATTTATAAAGGTCACCCCAGTTTCATGGCCCTAGATAAAATACCAAATTCTTGCGATGAACCACAAATTTACTAGAAAATAGCATTTTCATTAAAAAAAATAATAATTAGAAACGACGAATTTAGCCAACTTGGGACTTTAGGTGAAAGTTGTTTAAATTATCAACTTCGAACGAAAAAAATATAAAGTAAAAAAAAAACGTGGCAATCTCAAAATGTTGACCTCAATTTCTTTTGCCTTTTTTAGAAAAAACAATATAAAAGTGAAACCACTGATTTTTTTTATATATTTTTTTGTATTCAGTAAATATTTATCTAGGTACAATTAAAAAATTGTTACTATCTTAACATTTTTGGCCAAGTTAACGCATTTTCAAGAAAAAATGAGGAGCATCCGTGCAAAACCAGCTAAATCCATTTTATTCAGTTTTTGTTTTTTTTTTTTTTTTGATTTTGCATCTTTGGGTTCATTTCTATCGACAACCAAGATAATTCTGTTTAAAACCGAATAAATCCATGTTAAAATCACATTTAAAAGGTAGCTTTAGGAGCAAAACCGGCCAAATCCACGTTTTTATAGCAAACCCGGCTATATCCAATAAATAATAATATGTGGCTTGGATATGTCGATACTACTACTAAAATTTGTTCTGTTTTTTCATGTTTGCACTAAATTTATTTTGTTAATATTTTTGAATATTAAAGGTTTTTTTTCACATTTTATTCCTTTTTTATTCGGTTTTCGAGCAAAACCGGCTATATATAGCTTATAGATCAAGTGCCACAAAGCCCACAAAACTCAAGTTTGCTTTTTCTTTTATCTGTAAAGGCCAGAAAGCCATTTTCCCAACATTTTATTAAAGTGGATATAGCCGGTTTTGCACGGATGCTCCTCAAATGTTTCTGTTCATTTTTCAAAAATTTTCAACAAAACAAATTTAAGCAAAAAGAAAAAATACGTTTCGGTAGAGAAACTGTAAAAAAAATATTTTCTCTACGACTACTTAAGAATAGTAACATTCTAGTGTACTTTTTGATCATAGAAAGGATGTTTCTCTGCAATACTGTGCGAGAATATTCCCACTCTTGTTTAAGAATGGTCACAAGTAACATTTCCTGGATGTTTACTAAACGTAAAAAATTTAAAAATATTTAAATATTAATATTTAATTACTGTATTATTTATTAATTAAAAAATAATAGCAGTTGTATAATTAAGGTTTAGGCCCAAAAAATTAGTTATATTTATTGTTTTTCAAATATACAAATCAAAATTATAATAAATTTGATATTAAAATGATAAACCAGTTACCTACTATACCGGCTTTGAAGTTTTGACAGATTCAAAAAGTTTAAAAAAGACCTTTAAAATGTAGAAAAAGAATAGATGTTGACATAGATTACTTGTAAAATTAGTTTTGTATTTGTTACAATGTTATTTTTTTTATTAGTTAGTGTAAAGAACTATTTTTAATTATAATAAAGAGGCATACCATTTGTTTAAATTTATTATAATTTACATTATAAAATTGTGACGGCACAAAATGGTTTGACAATACAAAAAACTTAAATGTCAAAAACTGCTTGGTTTCTTTTCTCTGTTTAAAATTATATAAGCGTTACTATTCTTACGTAGTCGTAGAGAAAATAATGTCTGAAACACGTTTGGAATAGCATATTCCACTCTCGTAAAACCGTCACACTCGCCTTCGGCTCGTGTGTCAAATTTTTCCTCGAACGGAATATGCTGTATTCCAAACTTGTTACAGAATGTACTATTTTCTTCTTTAACACCCGCTTCTTGTAAATACTTATTGTAAATTAACGACGCCATAGCGAAAGAATGTGATAATGTTTGAAAGGTTAATGACCTTTCAAACTTCAAACTGACATACCAACTATGTAAAGTAAAATTCGACCAAATTAAATATAAGGTATAAAATTAACTTGTTTTATGAAATGTTTGCAAAATAGATAAAATAGCATAAAGAACTCATGTCATAAGACCTTTTGTCGCACTTGTCCATTATAAATTGTCCGCGTGCGACTAAATGACGTCTTATGACATTAGTTCTTTAATATACTATTAAAATGTAGAAAAAGAATAGATGTTGACATAGATTACTTGTAAAATTAGTTTTGTATTTGTTACAATGTTATTTTTTTATTAGTTAGTGTAAATAACTATTTTTAATTATAATAAAGATTTAGGCATACCATTTGTTTAAATTTATTATAATTTACATGATAAAATTGTGACGGCACAAAATGGTTTGACAATACAAAAAACTTAAATGTCAATTGCTTGGTTTCTTTTCCGTTTAAAATTATATAAGCGTTACTATTCTTACGTAGTCTTAGAGAAAATAATGTCTGAAACTCTCGTAAAACCGTCACACTCGCCTTCGGCTCGTGTGTCAAATTTTTCCTCGAGCGGAATATGCTGTATTCCAAACTTGTTACAGAATGTACTTTTCTGTCCTTTTTTCAAAAATTTCCCACGGGTGAACAAAACAAATTTAAGCAAAAAGAAAAAATACGTTTCGGTAGAGAAACTGTAAAAAAAATTATTTTCCACCGGTCCAGAATAAAACGAAAAATTTAACACCCGCTTTGTTCTCTTGAATAATAAAATAAAACGCGATGAGACAAAACAAAAGTACTCACTCCTTCCTCTGCCCTTCATCTTGAACATGTTACCCCCGGCCGCCGCCGCCGCTGGATTGGGGGGCAGCGAGTCCGCGGCAGAGGGCTCTGGCATCTGCGGCCTGGAGGCCGCTTCGGAAGACAGATGGGAGTAATTGGAAACTGCGCCGTTCACGTCGAAAGTCGGTACGGGCTGTTGCAAGGGGTGCGGCGCGCCCGCAGGTGGCGCCATCTTGGGCATCATGTCCGCCATTTTGGGCGGCGGTTTCACTTCGTTGGCGGTCTCGTTGCCGTCGTCGTCCACGTTCACCCAGCGTTTCTTGTCCTGGTCCCAAACAATCTAAAAAAAATACATTTTCTTGATTGACAATCCAAAATTATGACAAGTCAGGTAAAATGACGAAAAGATGATGACAAGCTAAAACAAAAACGCGCTAAAATGATGACAAGCTAAAACAAGGATCAAATAAAATTGTGACGAGCTAAAATGATTACAACCTAAAATGATGACGAGATAAAATTGTAACAAGCTAAACTGATTATAAGTTGAAATGATAACAAGCTAAAAAAATACCAAGATAAAAAGAAGACAAGGTAAAATGATGGCAAGCTAAGAAAATGACAAGCCAAAATAATGACAATAAGATAAAATTGTGACAAGCTAAAATGCTAAGAAAATGAGCTGCTCCAGAATGGAATACGCCAAAAATTTGCTAAGAAAATGAAAAGCTAAAATTATGGCATACTAAAACAATAAGAAGATAAAATTATAACGAGCTAAAATGATGACAGGCAAAAATGATGACGAGATAAAATTGTGACAATCTAAACTAATTATAAGTTAAAATGATGACCAGCTAAAAAAAAGACAAGGTAAAATGTTGGCAAGCTAAGAAAATGACATGCCATAATAATAATGAGAATAAGAAAAAATTGTGACAAGCTAAAATGCTAAAAAAATGACATGTTCCAAACAGAAATACAACAAAACTTTGCTAAGAAAATGACAAGCTAAAACAATAACAAAATAAAATATAACGTGCTAAAATGATTACAAGCTAAAACAAGGATAAAATAAAATTGTGACAAGCTAAAATGATTACAACCAAAAATGATGACGAGATAAAATTGCAATGAGCTAAACTAGCTATAAGTTGAAACGATGACAAGCTAAAAAAATAACAAGCTAAAAAAAGACAAGATAAAATAATGACAAGCTAAGAAAATGGCAAGCCAAAATAATGACAATAAGATAAAATTGTGACAAGTTTAAATGCTAAGAAAATGAGCTGCTCCAGAAAGGAATAGGCCAAAAATTTGCTAAGAAAATTAAAAGCTAAAATGATGACATGCTAAAACAATAACAAGGTAAAATTATGACAGGCTTAAATGATGACGAGATAAAATTGGAACAATCTAAGTTAAAATGATGACCAGATAAAAAAATAACAAGCTAAAAAAAAGACAAGGTAAAATAATGACAAGCTAAGAAAATGGAAAGCCAAAATAATGAGAATAAGATAAAATTGTGACAAGATAAAATGCTACAAAAATGACATGCTCCGAACAGAAATACGACAAAAATTTGCAAAGAAAATTACAAGCTAAAAAAATAACAAGATAAAATATAACGCGCTAAAATGATGACGAGATAAAATATAACAAGCTAAACTGATTATAAGTTGAAATGACCACAAGCTAAAAAAAGACAAGATAAAATGATGGCAAGCTAAGAAAATGGCAAGCCAAAATAATGACAATAAGATAAAATTGTGACAAGCTAAAATGCTAAGAAAATGAGCTGCTCCAGAAAGGAATAGGCCAAAAGTTTGCTAAGAAAATGAAAAGCTAAAATGATGGCATGCTAAAACAATAACAAGGTAAAATTATAACGAGCTAAAATTATGACGAGATAAAATTGGAACAATCTAAGTTAAAATGATGAGCAGCTAAAAAATAACAAGCTAAAAAAAAGACAAGGTAAAATGGCAAGCTAAGAAAATGACAAGCCAAAATAATGAGAATAAGATAAAATTTTGACAAGATAAAATGCTACAAAAATGACATGCTCCGAACATAAATATGACAAAAATATGCAAAGAAAATTACAAGCTAAAAAAATAACAAGATAACGCGCTAAATTGATGACGAGATAAAATTGTAACAAGCTAAACTGATTATAAGTTAAAATGATGACAAGCTAAAAAAAACACAAGCTAAAAAAAGACAAGATAAAATGATGGCAAGCTAAGAAAATGGCAAGCCAAAATAATGACAATAAGATAAAATTGTGACAAGCTAAAATGCTAAGAAAATGAGCTGCTCCAGAAAGGAATAGGCCAAAAGTTTGCTAAGAAAATGAAAAGCTAAAATGATGGCATGCTAAAACAATAACAAGGTAAAATTATAACGAGCTAAAATTATGACGAGATAAAATTGGAACAATCTAAGTTAAAATGATGACCAGCTAAAAAAAGACAAGGTAAAATGATGGCAAGCTAAGAAAATGACAAGCCAAAATAATGAGAATAAGATAAAATTGTGACAAGATAAAATGCTACAAAAATGACATGCTCCGAACAGAAATACGACAAAAATTTGAAAAGAAAATTACAAGCTAAAAAAATAACAAGATAAAATATAACGCGCTAAAATGATGACAAGATAAAATTGTAACAAGCTAAACTGATTATGAGTTGAAATGATGACAAGCTAAGAAAATGGAAAGCCAAAATAATGACAATAAGATAAAATTGTGACAAGCTAAAATGCTAAGAAAATGAGCTTCTCCAGAAAGGAATAGGCCAAAAATTTGCTAAGAAAATTAAAAGATAAAATGATGGCATGCTAAAACAATAAAAAGGTAAAATTATAACGAGCTAAAATTATGACAGGCTAAAATGATGACGAGATAAAATTGGAACAATCTAAGTTAAAATGATGACCAGCTAAAAAAATAACAAGCTAAAAAAAAGACAAGGTAAAATGATTTCAAGCTAAGAAATTGACAAGCCAAAATAATGAGAATAAGATAAAATTGTGACAAGAAAAAATGCTACAAAAATGACATGCTCCCAACAGAAATACGACAAAAATTTGCAAAGAAAATTACAAGCTAAAAATATAACAATATAAAATATAATGCGCTAAAATGATGACGAGATAAAATTGTAACAAGCCAAACTGATTATAAGTTGAAATGATGACAAGCTATAAAAATAACAAGCTAAAAAAACACAAGATAAAATGATGGCAAGCTAAAATAATGACAATAAGTTAAAATTGTGACTAGAAAATGACCTGCTCCAGAAAGAAATACGACACAAATTTGCTAAGAAAATGAAAAGCTAAAATGATAACAAGATAAAATTGTAACTATCTAAGTTAAAATGATGACCAGCTAAAAAAAGACAAGGTAAAATGATGGCAAGCTAAGAAAATGACAAGCCAAAATAATGAGAATAAGATAAAATTGTGACAAGATAAAATGCTACAAAAATGACATGCTCCGAACAGAAATACGACAAAAATTTGCAAAGAAAATTACAAGCTAAAAAAATAACAAGATAAAATATAACCCACTAAAATGATGACGAGATAAAATTGTAACAAGCTAAACTGATTATAAGTTGAAATGATGACAAGCTAAAAAAATTACAAGCTAAAAAAAGACCAGATAAAATGAGGCAAGCTAAGAAAATGGCAAGCCAAAATAATGACAATAGAAATACGACACAAATTTGCTAAGAAAATTAAAAGCTAGAATGATGGCAAGCTAAAACAATAACAAGATAAAATATAAAGCGCTAAAATGATGACAAGCTAAAAAAAGGATCAAATAAAATTGTGATAAGCTAAAATGATTACAACCTAAAATAATAACAAGATAAAATTGTAACAATCTAAACTATAATAATAAACTAAAGTATAACTTAAAATGATGACCAACTAAAAAATAACAAGCTAAAAAAAGACAAGGTAAAATGATGGCAAGCTAAGAAAATGACAAGCCAAAATGATGAGAATAAGATAAAATTGTGACAAGATAAAATGCTACAAAAATGACATGCTCCGAACAGGAACATGACAAAAATTTGCAAAGAAAATTACAAGCTAAAAAAATTACAAGATAAAATATAACGCGCTAAAATTGTAACAAGCTAAACTGATTATAAGTTGAAATGATGACAAGCTAAAAAAAATAACGCTAAAAAAAGACAAGATAAAATGATGGCAAGCTAAGAAAATGGCAAGCCAAAATAATGACAATAAAATAAAATTGTGACTAGAAAATGACCTGCTCCAGAAAGAAATACGACACAAATTTGCAAAGAAAATTAAAAGCTAGAATGATGGCAAGCTAAAACAATAACAAGATAAAATATAACGCGCTAAAATGATGACGAGCTAAAAAAGGATCAAATAAAATTGTGACAAGCTAAAATGATTACAACCTAAAATGATGAGATAAAATTGTAACAAGCTAAACCGATTATAAATTAAAATGATGACAAGCTAAAAAAATAACAAGCTAAAAAAATGACAAGCTAAAACAGTAACAAGATAAAATTGTGACAAGTTAAAATGATAACAACCTTAAATGATGACAAGCTAAAAAAATAATATAAAATAGTAACAAGCTAAAAAAATAACAAACTAAAAAAATAAAAATAAGATAAAATTGTGACAAGCTATACTATACTATACCAACCTAAAATGACGACAAGCTAAACAAGGACAAGATAAAATGTTGACAAACTAAAACAATAACAACCTAAAATGATGACAAGCCAAAAAATGACTATAAAATGATGACAATCCGCGACCTGAGAATTAGATTGTTCTATCTCCCAAAATTTAAAGAGGAACAAATAGCAGTTTAAAGTTTAATTTATATGCAAATGAAATTTTAAAAAGCTGTTTTTCCGTGTTTAGGTTTTGGGAGATTCTTTCTTTCAAAAATCTGACACGGAAAAACAGCTTTTTAAAATTTCATTTGCATATAAATTAAACTTTAAACTGCTATTTGTTCCTCTTTAAATTTTGGGAGATAGAACAATCTAATTCTCAGGTCGCGAATCTAAAACAATAACAAGATAAAATTATAACGAGCTAAAATGATGAAAAGCTAAAACAAGGACAAGATAAAATTATAACGAGCTAAAATGATGACAAGCTAAATGCTTTTTTTTAACGACTTAAATCCTTTTTATAACACTAACCTTTGGGTTCTTATCGTCCGGCAGCTTCATTTGATTCTTCGGCTTGAGAGTGATCTTGCTGAAAATTCCTCCGAACCAGCCGGTGCTGGTCGATTTTTCCGGCGACGCGGTCTTCCCGGACCGCACCGGACTCGAACCTTGTCGCTCGCCGGCCGCGGCACTCGCCGACGGCTCGTCCTCGCCGTCGCTCCTCCTCCTGCCCGACTGATTCGGCATCGAGATCTGAGGCTGCCTAGCGACGTCCTGCGGAACAGTACAGAGCAGCAGTTTATTACATTTTGCCGTGGTCAATAATTAAAATGGCGAATTTTAAAGCAAAGATGCATGAGTTTTATCGGAGAAATGAAAGAATGATGAGAAATCCGCAGGATTTAAAAAGTGTTCCAGGATCAAAAATAATTAACATTGTATAATAATACACCATTTATTGAATATTTAACAAAAATACATATAAAGCATTGAAGTGCATTTCCTCTTAATATAACACACTATTCTATATTGTTGATTTAACATGTTACATTTATATATCTACACAACAAATTGTTACATTTAAATAGATCCATAATAACTATTATATCGCTTAACAAGTTACCTAACAAGTCTTTATGAGTTTGTGACTTATGCTTGTAGAATAATAATCCATCAAAAATATCTTTGTAAATAAGTAATAAGCATGATGATAAGCATTTCTGACATTCTATGCACATTTTCATTTTATAAACATAACGTTAACAAACGAAAAAACCGCATTACAATTTTTTCTGACTGTTCTATGCTCCACACCTCAAAGTCCCACCACGTGACTACGTACGTAAAATTTGGCATTTAAGGCTTTTCAGGTTATGTATCTGTCAAAGTATAGTCAACGAAAGAAGCGTTAAAAATGTATGAATCTTTATAGTATCGCAATAACGATGGTTGGTTTAAGAATTTAGGAATATAAATACTGCTTTTAATGAAATTCTAAAGTGTATGGTCCAAATAAGTAATAAAAGCGAAGATTATTATCCGCTAGGAATACTTTCTCTTCTAGGCCGTAAAGCAACCTATATTTAACTACTTTTTTTATATGATTTTACTCATCCAAGCTAACTACAAATTTCGATAACTCAACTTGACAACTGCACAATGTAACCTACAATAATTTATACATAAACACAATTAGATTTATAACTAGCTTAGTTTGTTTTAATCAATGCGACCAACTTGACAACTGTATTTACAAAATGTAGTAGTTTTTCCAATCCAGCTTAAAATGTAGGTACATAAAGTTTTGTCAATACAATTGTTAAAATTTTAATATAGGTATCACATGTCATAGGAATATAACTTTTTTCAAATTGCAAGTTTCTCTAAAAATTGTTTATTTTTTTATAATCTAAATTAAAGTAGGTATGCCGAGAGGTATGCACAAGTTTTGTAGTTAGAAAAAAAGCTTCAATTAAATATGAACCATATTCAACAATTATTTACTATAACTATATTAACACTCTTCCAAATAATCAAAAATACGTATTTATTTTGGTCAAAATGGATTTTACAACCTTAAAATTACAAAGTTGGATATCATTTTTTGTTATAATACACTGCGCGTCAAAATTAACGCATGTATTTTCGTTACTGTTTGTTTGATTTGTACAACATTTTCAGGGTATACTGACAAAAATACGGTCTTTTACAGCAAATTCCCTATAATTTTTTTTTCGAGCGTTTTTTATTATTTAATAAAAGAGCTTTAAGAATTTTTTCTCTAAAAACCTTTAAAACAGAAACTGAGATTTAAGTTTTAAGATTTTACAAAGGTTGGTGAAAATGTAAAAAAAAATCCCTGAAAATTTAACTCTATTATTAACTCTATTTATTATTTTTTTAATAATTATGCTTAATTGTTTAAGTTATTTATTTTTTTCTAATCTGTAGAAAAAACGTAATTACATAAAATTGTACTGATAAACAATTGAAAATCATCATTTATAAAAAGTTGTCGATGTAAACGCTTTATATCTCAAAAAATATCAGCGATTTAACTAATAATACCTTTTTTAAAGAAAATTTTCTACAAGTTTGTCCTTTACATTTTTTCGATGAATCCAGTCACTTTTGAAATATCTTCAAAAATATGAGAATTTTTCACTAAAATCAGATTTAGTGACCTGTACCATCTTACAGGTGCAGATTACAGCTATGGCACATAAAGCATTTTTGTAGAACTTTTGATTACGAGTAAATCCCTTTTTGAAACAATCCAATAGCATAAAATGCGGCTGGGAAATGGGAAATCTTTATACGCTTTGGGAGAGCAAATAGAGTTAATTAAGGACTCAAATTTTCAGGGATTTTTTTTTGAACATTTTCAACAAGATTTTGAGTTGGGAGCGAAAAAATAAAAATAGCCGTGAAAAAAAAGCACCCTAATGTAGACCAACCATTGTTATTGTGATACTATAAAGATTTATAAACTCTTAACGCTTAAACTTAAGCGGTAACAGTATAAATATTATTTCTTTCGTTGACTATAGTTTGACAGATACATAACCTTAAATGCCAAATTTTCCCACCACGTGGTGGGACTTTGAGGTGTGTAGCTTGGTACTTTAAAAAATAAAAAAATTAACACAGTCACGAGTGACGAATAAAGGGACACCGAAGCCTTAGATAGGTCTGTCTATGTCGAACGTTTTGGGTGGGCCGTACTCGCGAAATTTGGGCGAGGGGCCCGCGGATAGACTCGAACGCTTTTCCTTCGGATCTATTTCGGAGGTGGGGACGTCTATGGGATACGTGCCGCCGAAAACTAGGGGTTTGTAGACTACCCCTTTATCGGCGGAATTGCTCCTGCTGAAAATCGAGTTTCTTATGTTGGAAAACACGTTTTTACCGCTACGTCTCGCCCACGCGTCAACCGTGTCGTGAATAATGTCGTGTTTACGCTGCCCGAATTTCGTCAACCTAAAGCCGGAGTTGACGCTGAAATCCTCCGCGGATAGGGAGACCTTGCTGTTGGGGTCCAAATATTTAACGGGGATGTCCAACGATTTGTACTTGACGAGCTTGCTCTCGAACGTGTTGTAGTTCGCGCTTCTGACCGCGGTGACTATTTTGGCGTCGGCGTCGCGAAAACAAATGAGCTGCGAGCGCTCCTCGCTTGTTTTCCGCTGCTGCCGCCGCCTGCCGAGATAAGTTTCGCACTCGACGTCCGAGCTTTCGACGCCATCTGTCGGATACACTTTCGCAGGGCTGTGCGTCGTGAGTCGCTTGCGCAACGTGCTCGACGAGCTCGCAGCAGAGGACAACAGAGACAGTGGCGAAGCGTTTTTGCTGTTGCGAAGGGTACTTACTTCCAAAGTGCTCTTTCGTACCTCCCTGTCGGGCTGCATCCATGCGCGAGACGAACACACACAAAATTAGTCGGTTAGTCAGCACAAAAAAATACAACGACAACCCTTGTGGAAATTTTTCTCTGAGAAAGTCTTACTTTATCTGAAAAAGTCTGAATAATACTTATTAAGTCGGAAAAAGTCAGAATAAGTCTTCTGGAAGAGTTAATAAGACTTAATAAGACTTTTAGTAGAGAAATGGTAGGTACCTACGGAGATAAAAATAAATATCCGAAATAATTCATAGAGGTTGTATTTGGTTATCGTAAAATAAAACACATAGAAAAGTATTTATTAACATTTTTGCTGTTGTTATAAGCCAAGTTTATTGCATAATTCAGGGCTCCCACGGCTAAATTACAAATTTTATTTAGGAATTTAGGAGGTTTTTTGTAAAATTTTAGGAGAAATAAAGTATCGAAATGAATTTCATTAATTAAATAAAAACATCTCTTTACTACTTAAAAAATAAAAAAAAATTAATACTTCTTTTGTAACAATAAGTTATATTGACTAGTTTTTTAGCCAAATCGCTCGACATTTTTTTTAAATAAAATTAAAAGTGAGGTAAAATTACTACTTTTGTATATATCTGAGGTACATATATATACAAGTATAAATTTCACCACACTTTTAATTTTATTTCAAAAAATGCGTCGATAGATTTGGTTAATGCCAAAATCAAATGATGTTATCTTTATATTTTAAGAAAAAACATGTTAACCGTTTAGTTAATAACTAACAGTAATTAAATCGATAAGGTTAAGAATAGTACAAGTCCAAAAGTAAAATTTTTGATAAAATATTTCAAAAAATCAGTTTTATGGTTCTAAATGCATTTTTGTTAGAATATTTTAACTATTTTATGAAATATAATATTCAATTTCTGCAAAATAATTTATATCTTCTAACAAAAATGTATTTTAAACTTTAAAATTGATTTTAGAAAATAAATTCTCAAAATTAAATTTTTGGACCTGTACTGTTTTTATTCTCACCGATTCAATTGTAATGTGGATCATAATACTTAAAAATTTCATAACAAAATATGAAGTTTGCAAAATACAGCAAAACATTCTTTAGATTGTTTACTATTTTAGCTGTCATTTAAAAGAAAATTAAAAATCCTTTTGTTTGGTATATAACACGGTATATTTTTGACTAAAAAACGAAATATCGCTAAAAATGACAATTTTGTAGAAGTTTTTATGTTGTTTTTTAAGAAAAATTTTAGTATATATATTTTTAAATTACTTTTTAAAAAAGAATTTTTTTAGCACTACCTTAAGTAATTAAACGCAGTCAGGTTGGCCTATTTAAATTTAATTTTTAGAATTTTAGGAGTTTTAGGAGATTGAAGGCAATTTTAGGAGAAATTTAGGAGTTTTCAAGATTTAAGCAAAATTTTAGGAATTTTATGAGTTTTAGGAGGTGTGGGAGCCCTGATAATTACCTATATAATAACATAGGTAAGATGTAATAATTATAACAATTATAATTTTATACATACGATGCGCTTGACATGCATGCTTTCATTGTTTCCACCATAGAAAAAGGAGTTGCCACTGTACGTTTTATTTTAATAGTTTCTTTTGATACACGCAAATATTTACCTATCTAAACAGTGTTACAAACAAATCTTCTAGACGTAATATCGAGAGACCAGCTCAGCTAGCTGACCAATTAGAGCACAGCTGACCTGTCAGTGGGACACAGTGTTGCCGTTTGCAAGTATTTTACTCGAAAATTTCTATCAAAATAATAACAAAAGAAATTTTCAGTAAATAATATTGTATATTTACTAAATATGCACAATTATTTTATTCTATCCTGTTACATTTTTATTATTATTTTAGTATTTTGTAA